TCATAGTAAAATAGAATTCAGGATTAAGATAATCCCATTACTTGCATGTGGGGTAAACATCTATTTACATGATTAAAATCTGCCTACAGATGTTTCTGTTTTGAGAGACAGATTTCTGTTGATTAAACATCATTTGGCATGAACCTCAAATCCCCTTTAGGGTCAAAAGACCAAAAACAACCCATAAAATCATCATTTGTTTATAGTTACAGGGCCAGTTTGGAGTAAACTGGAGAAAATGATCTGATACAAACTCAGCTCAAGAACTAACAGTTCATGTGACCTCAGCACCTACAAGAAATTAAAGCAGTAATGCACAGTTTGCACATTGCCACTTGAAGTGGAAAATTTTATCCCATCATAGTCAGAACATATGTGCTGAGTTGAGAAGAGAAGCAACTTTTAATTTCTATGGTACTTCAGAGAAGTTAGAAGACGTTTTAGGAATCTACATATGAAAGTATGCATCCATCTAGTAATGTATATAATTCAGTTTGGTATTTTACACAGGTACTTTTGTATTAGAGTTTATCTTCAGGTAGATCTTAGACCTTGATTTTTCCATACTTAAGTGAACTACAAAGCTTTTTAACTGTTCTTGTGATGAAAGTAGTATTAATAGTATTTATCATTTGTTATGCATAGGTTCCCCCCCCACTAGAATTTAAGTTGTATGAGGGCAGGGAATTGTTTGATTTGCACACCATTGTATTCCCACTGCAGCTCTCAATAAATATTATGCCAATGAATGGACAGATAAGTAGGTGAGCCAAGGTAGGCTTTTAGGATTGTAAGCTCAAACCCTACTTTAGTAGAAATTTGGCCAATATCACCTTTTGCATATTGTGCTTTCTGCTGGATTTTAGTGATTAAAAAACAAAACAAAAAACCCAACACTAAACACTGGATTAAAGTCAGAAGACCTGCTTTGGAATCCCAGTCTCTCCATGTATGAGCTGTGTGATCTTTGGTTTCCTCCTCTATAAAACATAGATGATAATTAATGAGATAAAAATGGAAGGCATCTGATATTCTAAGGTTAGGTTTCCGATTCTGATGCTTAACAAGGATGTGGTAGTACCTTTTATTAGTAACTGAGATTATAAATTATATTGTGATGATCATAGGTTATATAGAAAATGTATCATTTTATAAAAACTATATTAATGCAGTAATTATAAAAATTATATAAGCAATTAGAAAAAGCCATAAATACATTTACATACCGTAGGATTGTTTTCTTTTAAAGCAAGATAAGCTTTACTAAGAATACACCCCCTAGATTTTTGAACATCTCATTCCAGTATATGCTGAAGTGTGACTTGTTTTCCTAAAAAACTGAAGCAAATCTTGCCTGTATTGAGAGCATAATATGGGGAAAGCAGTAGCTGGCCTACAGAGACCCAACTGGAATTCTAGTAGTCCTGGAGTGAAGATGCATTATATTGGATGATTTTGTAGATCACAGATAATTTAATGACTGAGTTTTTCTATATATTATTTACTGTGTATAGGAAGAGGGTGGTAACAGAAAAAGTTAGACTTTAAAAATAGTAACATTCTATAAATTGGAGTATTTCCCCAGAGAATGTAAAGTCTAGTGTCCTTCCAGTCAATGAAATTTAATTACTTCTTCGTCAACTGTAATGTAAATTTGTATGTCTAATTCGGCTTGAATGTTGTGAGGGCTGGACGTATTCAGTATTGGAATACGTTGAGTACCTTAAGAAGCCAGTTATGACAAATTGGATTTCAATAAAGTAGTTTTCTCGCCATCTTAGAATATAAATATTTCATCTCTATTCACATGGCTCTGAGAGGGTTTTGCAATAGACAAAAATCTAAGAAGCTTATCAAAGTGAAGAGTTTTCAATTTCATGTTTCAGTAATAAAAACACTAATATTTGTAAATCATCTGAACTATTGATCACAAATAGTGACAGGCACTTAATAGCCATCTCTAAAAGTCCAAATTTTATTTTAGGCAAAATATGGACTATATCAGCACTTAGAGTATTTCATGCAATGCTGCATTTATATGATTAACAATGTACATTATATCTCTTCTGCACAGCTCAATCTTCATAGAATTATTTTATACTAATGAATAGTAAAAGAAGGTATTTTTCTAAAATACAAAGAATGTTCAGATAGTAGCTTTGTGACTTTTTCACATGATTTAAGTACCCATGGTAATTTTGTATTACCGAATTTTTTATAATTTTCAAACAGTATTATGTATAATATTAGGTTAGATCATCTGTGTTTAAAAATAAATACTAAATAAAATGTGTACATATTCTTGTTTATTTGTTTTACAAAGAAAAACAGCCACAAAAATTTCTCCTTCATTCTTGGCAAAAATACTCATTTCAGAGAATTCTATACTGTACAATAACATTTAAATTTTAAAATATAAAGAAATAATTTTTTCTTAATGCCTTAATTATAATGGTGTCACCAATAGTTTTATCTTTTTAAACTTCTTAAAGACTTACAAACATCCTAATTATCTTTGATTTTATTTCCTTTGGGCCCAACAAAATGTCTGACCTCCAAATTATAATTACTCGATTTTAAACAACATACTAAGAAAATGAAGGTATTGCATAATGTTTAAAAAAAAATAAAGCCTAAGTGGCATATGAAATGTAGGTGTATTTTTAAAATAGCAACAACATAGTTTTATAGTAATATATGGTCATCACAATAGTGAGGGACTGCAGTAAGTGGCTTCATTACAATACTTGCTCAGCCACCAACTGCAGCTATGACTTTACTGGTGTGGTTTCTAAAAAGGTCAGACAGGAAGCATCAATCCGAGGACCATACAAGTAGACAAAGCTTCTCATATACATCTAGTCACTCATTTCAGCCAGAAAAGTAGGTATGTACTACTTATACAATTTTTCATTTTGAGGGGAGCATTAAGGTCACGGCTAATTTAAATATACATAATATATACTGTCATATATGTAACAGTATTATATACACATATACAGTAATATATAGTATATAATACACAGTATATTACAGTAATATATAATCACAGTAATACATACTAAATATAAAATAAATTATATTTAATTTCCCCACTAGTTTGTTGGGCATATTCATAATTACCACAAGTAGCAAGTTTAGATTTCCTTTTGTTTTACCAAACTAAGCAAACTGGAATTTCATCATTGGGCACAAAGCACTCTTTAAAAGACATAAAAAATCCCTGTATATCCAAAAAAGAGAATCCTCTTTTGGTATCCAAACTCAAAACGAGAAAATGTTATGCAAAAACAACTTACCATTAGAACCTTATAAAATCATCTTTAGATTAAGTATTTCAGGAACAACATTATAAAATGCAAATTTTTGTCATGTAGATGTCTTATGAATTTCTAGGGTTGTACATGTCCTGTACATACATTAAACAGCCATTTGAAAAGCACTCATTTTGTTATTTGTATCCCTTAGTAATATATGTAACAATATACATGATAGAGATGAAATCTCTCAAAGTAACAATCAAATCTTACAATCTCATGTCATAGTAGCAGGTTCTATGTGAGCAATGTAAGTCCACCTTATTTTGGTTTTTAAAGGAAACCACTAAGTCAAATTTAATCTTTTTACTGTTCTAAAGAAGCATCTACAGGTTAATAAAATGTCTTGGCAAAATATGCCTGACATCTTTTAGGGGACAGTTTTGAACTATTCCCAAATTAAAGTTCAGTGTCCCAGGACATTGTGTTTCAGCAAATGTTATCCTTAATGCCTGCCTTGTCTAAGTACAAATCAGCAACTAAAAATATTTACATCTTGGCTCAGTACATGGAACACACAATTCCCCGTTCATTATCCAAATGATTGAGTGATCCAAAAATATTTCCTCATTCAAGTATCACTAGTGATCATGCAGGATCATTTTTAAGCAATTATACTTTAAAAAATGTTTAAACAAAACAAAAAAATAAAAATAATAAACCCAGATACTTCATTTTCTCTAGACTAACATCATCAAGTCCTTGAAGCCCTTGAATTTGAAAAACTTCTCATTACTTAAATACAGACCTGAGAGAAAAATGGTCCTTATTAATGTCCATTGTTTGTATCACTAGGTGCTTTGCTGATAGCAAAGGTATACTTTCCTGGAGGGTTAGTACAGCATAGTGGTTAAGAGTATGAACCCCAGAACCATACCTAAGTTTGAGTCCAGCCCAATCACTTACTGGCAGTGTGACTTGGGCTAAATTACTTCACGTCTTTGGGCCACAGTTTTGTCATAATATTGTGAGTATCAAATAAGTTACCACATATAAAGCACTTAGAACAATTTCTAGCATGTAGTATGCATTCAGTAAATGTTAGATACTATGTTATTCAGGTTTTTTTTTCATTCAAAACTTATATTAAAGAGATGTTCCACATCAAAGACTTCTAGTTGGCTGTTAATTCCTATTCTTACGTGTATTTAGTATACTCCCTGGTTTATGCATATATGTATATAATCTATATGATATACATATATATGTATAAACCATATAATGAATATGATTATATGTATGTGAATATATATGGGCACACATATGCAAAAGAGAGAATAAGAGAAACATAAAAACATATTTGAGGCAAAATACGTAATAAAGTAAATGGAAAAAATCTTATCCTTAGGTCCAACTTTTCATGTTGGTAAAGAACACATTTAGCCTTTCAAAGATCTCCACTTTTAAGCAGTTGATCGTTGGAGCTTGAGCGGTCTGTTTTTTGAGCTTGAGCTATTTGTTTTGCTGTTTCTGTTTGTTAAGTGTTTCCCTCAACATGTATTCTTCAAAATACGTTTTGAAATAATCTTGTTAGGAAGCACAGTCTTCCTTAAAACTTGATACAGAATCAGTTCCATATAGTTTGGAGGTTTCTTGACTTCTAGACCAACATTTTGTAATGTAAGTTTTATGAGGTAGTCAATCAGTAACTTGCCAGAAAACAAAAGTCAGGGGCTCCTTTCCTTAAGCATAAGTCATCTTGCCAAGGTAGTTAGCTGGCACATATCCTTTCTGCCCTTGAGCTTCAGCTAACCACCACTCTTTATTGCCACTTAGGTCACAAAATCGGAGTATGTGGACTCTTTGGTATTCCTGAAGGCTGAGTTCATGGTCACTTCGTGCTTGAAAGGCATGAACTGCATAGAAAATCTAGACAAAGAAGCAAATGACATTATTGGAAGCAGAACTTAAATATTTAGACAAACATAATTAAGATATCCAAGCTTTTAGAAAATGCTAAGTTTTCATTTTTTCAAAGTCACATTCCCCAGTTCTTTCTGTTGGATTTATTTTGCTAAAACATGACCCATATGAGAATACAGTTCAATAGGCATTCTTATTGTTCTGTGGGGAGGAGTCTAAACTGCCCATGCTTGAAGGCAATCTGGCAGTTTCTATTAAAAGATTATTTTTTATTTATGTTTTTTCCGTAAGCTCCACACCAAATGTGGTGCCTGAACTCAAGACCCTGAGATCAAGAGTTGCGTGCTCTACTGACTGAGCCAGCCAGGCGCCCCTAAAAGACTTGAAAATGTTAATTTTTTATTTGTTTGTTTTTATTCAATAATAGCTCTTTAAGAATCTCTCCTTCAGGGGCTCCTGGGTGGCTCAGTCGTTAAGCGTCTGCCTTCGGCTCAGCTCATGATCCCAGGACCCTGGGATGGAGCCCCACGTCAGGTTCCCTGCTCAGCGGGGAGCCTGCTTCTCCCACTTCCCCCTGTTCCTGCTCTCTCTCACTACCTCTCTCTCTATCAAATAAATAAAATCTTTAAAAAAATTTAAAAATCTCTCTTACAGAAATAGAAACATTCACAGGTTTTTACTTATTAATATTACCACAGTATCCATTCACAAGGTGAAAAGTGAGAGGGAAAAAGAATAACACTAAGTGTTCAGTAAGAGGAGAATAGTTAAATCTATTCTAGACCTTTATAGTAAGGAAATTTGTAGTCATTAAAATGCTGTTTTTTGAAACTAATAGCATGGGCAAATGCTTATGATGAAAGGGTAAGGCAAAAAAAAAGATATCAAATCAGATGTACAGTATAAGTCTAATAGTGTTAGTTTCTTTGAATGGTAGAATTAGAGATGATTTTCATTTTTACTTCTTATTTTTTAAACCTTTATAATGACAATACATTAAACTTACAATTTTTAAATTATTTTAAGTGGCCTAGAAGAAATTAATAAAACATGCTTCAGTCAAAAGATTTTTTCTCTAACCTCAAAAGAATACTTCAGAATATTAGATGCGTAAGAAGCCCCTGAGTGTTTAGTCCCTCTTCCACTAAAATCGTTAAGACTGATAACAGAAATGTTTAGTTACAAAATTAAGCAATTGACTAACATTTTATTCATTTATTCATTTAATCAAAATTTATTAAGTACCTATCAAGTGCCAGATATTATATTATCAAAGAACTTACAACCCAGCTAGGGAGAAAATGTATCCCCAAAAGGTGTATACACACACACACACACACACACACATACCCCAAAAAACACCCTACACACATAAGTGATATATGTGAGCTGGTTTTTGAAAGAGGTAACCTTGTGTAGGTGACAAAGTTGATAAAGGGGGTGGATATGTCATAGTCCAATGTACGTAGAATGCAAACAGTATATGGGAAAGGCAAGCAGATTAACTTTCTCAAAATTGAGGGTCAATGTTAAAAGGAAATGATAAGAAATAAGATGACTTCATTGAGCAAGAAAAGAGACTATATGTGGGGAATGTGGGGAGGGCACTATGTAGTTAGTTTAAGTTGTTCTGTAGATGTTGAACTGTTATTTAACTTTAGATGAAATTTTGATATCACTGATTTTATATCATCTCAACAACTCTGGCATGAGCCCCACCTCAAAGAGGAGCATTTATGAGGTGCCTGGTTGACTTAGTCAATAGAGCATGTGACTCTTGATCTCAGGGTTATGAGTTCAAGCCCCAGGTTAAGTGTAAAGCTTACCTGAAAAAAAAAGAGGAACATTTAAACTTTTCTCCACTGACCACATGGTGGTACACAGTAGAAATTCAGATATATGTTAATTTGACTTAAAAGTTAGGCCGAAAGTCTTGGATATCACACAAGAACATACAAGAGATAACCTTGCATCATACAAGATACACACAAGACAGATTGTTGGGCATGGATTATTTTGTAATTTAAAAATTTAAGAGGAGGGGTGCCTGAGTGGCTCAGTCGGTTAAGCATCTGCCTTTGGCTCAGGTTATGATCTCAAGGTCCTGGGATCGAGCCCCGCATCGGGCTCTCTGCTTGACAGGAGTCTGCTTGAGGATTCTCTCTCTCTCCCTCTGCCCCTACCCCCCACTCATGTGTGCTCTCTCTCTCAAATAAATAAATAAAATCTTTAAAAATTTTAAAAAAATAGGAAGAAAACAGAAAAGAAGGTGCTATAAATTCTTGAGCAATGGGGTGGGGCATCATTTCTACGCTCATGACAGTTTACATGTCCAATGTGCTTTATCCTCAACAACCCTGTGAGTTGTGACTTGGAAAAGTAACATGCTTTAGTCATATAGTTCATGCTGCTAGGACTACATCTTCTAACTCCAAATCCTGTGCTTGGTCCATTTCTCATACTACTTTAGGAAGCAAATTCTTGTTCTAGGAAGGATGTGCAGAGTATATTCTTGTGGAAAGGGACTGAGGTCTCTAATATGTTGCTGCTGATCTTTTTGTTGTTGATTAGAAAATGAAGACATTGATTAGATTCACAAGAGCAGAATGGAGGATTTGGTGGGCAAAAGCTTTCAGGAATACAATGCGCCATAATACAGTTTCTGATTATCTGTAAGAGCCCATGTTAGCAGTTACTAGCCAACTTTTATAATTTTAATACACAAGATATATGCATTGCCAACACAGCTATAGATTGTTTAGTAGGTTGAATTATATATGATTCCTAAATATTTGTGGTGGTTTTTCACTTTGGCACATATTCTCTCAAAGGGAAATAAAATCTTCCACTTAAATCTATTTGGTATGAGGAGTGCTGAGGTGGCTCGGTTGGTTAAGAGAAATCTGACCCTTGATTTCGGCTCAGGTCATGACCTCAGCATCATGGGATTGAGCTCCGTAGCTGGTTCCATGCTAAGCAGAGAATCTGCTGGAGGTTCTCTCTCTCCCTCTCCCTGCCCCTCCTCCAACTCATGCTCACTCTCCCCCGCCTCCCCGCCCCGGGCAAATAAGTAAGTAAGTCTTTTAAAAAATCTACTTGGTATGAAATTACAGCAGAGCATATATTTTAAACACTAAATATAAATTCTCATGAAATTGCAAATTTAAAGGAGAAAATTATATACTTTAAATATGTTAAATGATCATGGCCCAAAATTAATGTAGGATGAGCATATTTCAGTTTTATATGTTTATGCCTCCCATTTAACATAAGATAGATACTCAAAATGGAACTAAGTCCACTTTTAAAGAGACAGCAGTTGATAACATTAGACCACAAGTTGGAAGTTTTCAGCCTGTTATACATAAAAGCTGAAGAATTTCTCATTTTTTGGAATATTTTAATTGTTCTAGGCTGTATCTTTCTGACCTTCAGTGTTAATGTTTTGGTCCAGATATATTAATTAAATGTTATTAATTTAGGCCATAAACATCTGATCCTTCTCCCTTTTTCCTCAGCATTTATTAAAATATATTTTATTCATTGCTTCTTTACACTCTGTAAAGCTCTGGCTCGTTTTATGTACAACACTCCATGAATACAACCCAGTTCTCTACGGCATTAACTTTTTTTAAATAACACTCTGTATTGTATTATTGACTCCTACTCAATTTATTACCCACTGTTTATAACCACCAGATCTCTCCCTGTAGTAACATTGGCAGTTCAGTATTCCCTTATTCTTTTGTGCACTTAATTATTCCTCCCTTAGTGAGCCACACTAGCTATCTTCACTGAATCTCATTTTATCGATTTCATCCCAATTCTTCAATTAACAACAACAAAAATAATAATATATTTTAATCTTCCCTTCCAAAACTAAAAATTTAGCCATAAAACCTGTATTTACCATGTTATATCATATGTAGTTCAGAAAGCCAAGATAGTTATATTGCATGAAAAATGCTCTTTCTTCTCTTCCTCTAGGAGCAATTTTTCACATGATTCAGTGATCAATTATGTATTGTTACAAGTAATTTTTATAAAGAAATGATTTTAAATAAAGGTAAGAAGAAATCACCCAACTGCCATTAATATCTTGCATCTCTTCCCTTTTTTCCTCTCTCCCTTCCTTCCTCCCTTCCTTCCTTCCCTTGTTCCTTCTCTTCTTCCTTTTCTTCCTTCTACCTACCTACCTACCTGAAGTGGCAATAAACATAGAATTATAGTATATATAATTTTTGCAGCCTGATTTTTACTTGAAAATATATTTGACAATCTTTTCACGTCAATAAATAGCTCTCTAAAGCATCATTTTAATGACTACTTAAATATATTATGTTACAGCCAGATGGCTTTTGAAGCACTTTCTAAACAATGACATATTAGACATGTATGTAGCATTATCATCAAAAGCAGTTGAAACATGTAAAGATGAAGGACCAGAGAGTGAATTTAGGATTAGTGCCAAAACAACTTTTCAGAAGTTTGTAATTCAAAAATTATGTCCTCAGTATTATTTATGTGAATAAAAAGGAAACAGCACTGATTCTCAGACATTGAACTTTCCTCTAAAATTGGGTTTAGCCATTATTAAACCTGGTCCACTTTGAGAAGTGCTGAAGATTGCATCACATTAGTCCTATACCTTGCTTACCAAGCAAGGCATCTTAGATACTGTGGTAGGCAGAACTCTAAGATGGACACTGCCTGTTGAACATGTCCTACATAATAAAGTCCCTAATACACTGACCTTGAGTCAGTCAAAGATTATGCTTAGTGTGCCTGACATAAGCAGGTCGTCCTTTAAAAGAGAGTTCAGGCCATTTCTGAGGGAGAAATTTAAAAACAGAGAGATGCTCATCTGCTGGCCTTTTGGAAAGCAAACAGCCATGTTGTGAACTGCCTACAGACATAGCCACATGGCAGGCATCTGAGTGCAGCCTACAGTTAGTGAAAGTGGTCCTTGGCTGATGGCCAGCAGGAAAACGGAGGCCTCAGTCCTACTAGAACAAGGAACTGAGTTTTGGCAACAACCACAGGCTTGGAAGAGAACTCAAGAGTTTCAGAAAGGAACACAGCCCAGCAAGCATCTGGATTGCAGTGATGTGACATGCCAAGCAGAGCACCCAGCTAAGCTGTGCCTGGACTTCTGAACACGGAAATGGTGAGATAATACATTTATGTTGTTTTAAACCACTTAGTGTGTGATAATTTGTTATGCAGCAGTGAAAACTAATACAAATCATGTCATTACTCTTTGGCGGGCAAAAGGGGAGAATACATTAGAATAGGAAGGCATATCTGTTTGCTTTTTTAATATTTTTTGATAGATCACAAAGTAGTGAGTAAAGAAATTATTAAGTCCTTTAGTATAAATAAGTACTTCCAGGTTGCAAATATCCATTACCTCCTCCCCATCATTCTACAAGGCTCTGGATTATCATTTAGGGAGCTTCTAAAACATTCAGAGAAAGTCCATGCTTTCTGTGGAGGATGTGCATGGAGGAATCTGAATGGATTGGTACGTAGGCACCAAATAGGAGAATGACCATACCTCCCAATAATACCTGTCAGAGTTAATCTCATCCAGTAAACATTCTCTTTTATTAACAAAAGTGTCCCGTTATAGATAATAAGTTATATTTTCACCTGACCCATAAGACTTCTGATCCACTAGAACCATTAGAAAATGCAGGAGGCTCTTAATCCAACATTTTCTTTTTCCTTGAGTGGATGGGAGAATGGATAAGCAAGTTAAGTCTCTAGAGGAGTGGTTTCTAACCTATTTAAATATAATTTCCCTTTGAAAATCTGTTGAAAGCTATGTACCTCTTTTAGCATTGTTATGCACATAAGCACAAAATTTCCAACATATTTGAAGGGATTTATAGATCCTTCCAAAGCCCATTCATAGATCCCTTTTATTCTTGTAGTCCACATTAAAAACTCAACTTGAGTATAAAAATCACAGAGCCACTAGTCTGAAGTCAGTCTGAACTTGCCTATTTATGACTGATTTTTAGGACCCCAGTGATGCCTCCTGAATATCAGGTATAGGTCAAGGCTACCCATCTACCTTCTTGTCAGGGTCCACTAGAACCATCAATAAAAGTAGATTACAGCCTACAACACCAATGGCAATATGCTATTTCAATTCAGGAAGAAAGCAAGAAAAAAAAAAAGTGTTACTGCCACAGTAGGAAAGGATAGGGAAGAAATGGTGACTCAAAGTGTCATCCAGTTAAATCAATACAGGTTTTTTTTTTAAGATTTTATTTATTTATTCATGAGAGACAGAGAGAGAGAGAGAGAGGCAGAGGGAGAAGCAGGCTCCCAAGGAGCAGGGAGCCCAATGTGGGACTCGATCCCAGGACCCTGGGATCATGACCTGAGCCGAAGACAGATGCTTAACCATCTGAGCCACCCAGGCGCCCTTCATTACAGGTTTGAGTTGATGTTCCTGATGATAAAATAAAATAAAGAACAGAATTCTAAATAGCCACACAGAAGATTGCTTTGTAGGGTACCTCAAATGTGCATATTAAAATATACAATGTATTCTCACTGTTCACAAAAAAAGATACAATTTACTCCCACTTTTCAGTCACCTTATAGGGACTTCTATAATGCATTCAATGTTCAATTAGGTTGTCACACCACAAGTGTGGGGGTTAACCATTTTCTTCTCCACACTTTGTAGGAGTCAACAGAATGAAAACATCAGCCCTCTGAATAGGATTTGGAGGATCAGACAAGGTTTTCCTTCTGTTTCTGAGGGCTGAAGAGTAGTTGCATAATTGGAAAAGTCTGAAAACCACTAGCCCATGTACCTCTATTGACTGGGATTAAGACATTAAGGGAAATATTCCTATGTGGTCTTTTCTTCCCTCTTGTACTGGGGTTTCTAACAGGTGCACTGTCTTCAACTCATAGTAAATTTACTTGGACAAACTTTGTCCATACACAGGAGAGACCTGCAATTTTCAATTATTTTAACACAGGAAAATATTCAGGGATCCTACATGGCCACTGATCCAAGCTGCATTTTCTAATCCAGTTTTGTTAGGAATAACGCTTATATGTATGTCCCTGATACCAGGGTCTATTTTGAATTGGTTCCAAACTCAGAAGAAAAGAACAAATAGCACTCTATGAAGAGTTACTATCAATATACTTTGTTTTGAGCAAAAGAAAATTATCTCATTTTTCCCCTCTCTTGGCAATGGAAACTTCTAATGGACCTAACTCACATGAAACATATTGATAGGATTACTCCAAGAGAATTACTTTGCAGTAGCTGCTATTAGGAAATAGACTACAAATCCCATGCCAAAAGAGCCTCAGTGAGGCACTTACTCCAAAAGTCTCTGTAGAGCCAATAGTAACTAGAGCTCAACATTAAGCCAGCTTTAGGGTATCTTGACAAATTTGGTCCTCAAATTTCTGTCCTTCTAGGTTATTGGGATAAATCAAAGTCTGCCAGGATATTTAATCCCAACTGTAGATTTTACTGATAAAATTTCATTAATCTATTGGCTTTACAATATAATTTTGTTTTCTAGAAACTTGAATAAACTAAGAGAGTGAAAAAGTAATAGAAAAACGGTGTTTTGAAACTTCAAGACAGAAGAGTGATAGAAGCATATAGTAATGTCCAGATGAGTTAAGAATCGGTCATGACTGGGAGAAATTATTTTTACAAATTATATCTGATAAAGAGCTTGCATCCAAACTATTGAAAGAACTCTTACAATTGGATAATAAGAAGGAAAATGACCCAATTTGTAAAATGGGCAAATATTTGAATAGACATTTCACCAGAGAAAATGCAGGGATGGTCAATAAGTACATGAAAGACACTCAACAGCATTAGTCAAATGCAAAATAAAACCCCAATGAGATACTACTTTGCACCCACTAGAGTGACTATCATCATAATAAAAAAGACAATAAGGTAAGGATGTGGGGAAACTGCAATCCACAACCCCCATGCATTGCTGGTGGGTATGTAAAATGGTGCAGTCGCTTTGAAAAACAGTCTGGCAGTTTCTTTAAAAAGTTAAACACAAATTCACCATATCAACAAGCAATTCTACTCCTAGGTATCTATTCAAAAGAAATGAAATCCTCACAAAGACTTGTACCTAAATGTTTATAGCAGCATTACTCATAATAGAAATTACCCTAAATGTCTATCAACTGGTGAATGGATAAACAAAATATGCTATATCCATAGAATGAAATAGTATTAGGTGATAAAAAGCAACAAAGTACATATATATACCGCAACAGGAATGACCCTCAAAACCATTATGCTAAGTGAAAGAAGCCAGCTGCAAAGCACTACATATTGTACGATTCCTTTAATACAAAATATATAAAAAAGTCAAATATATGGAGAAAGAAAGTAAATTAGTAATTTCCTGGGGCTGGGCTGGGAAAGAGAACAGACTGCAAATGAGTGAAAAGGATTTGGGGGGGGGTGAAAGGAATGTTCTAAAATTGGATTGGGGTGATAGTTGCACAGCTCTGTAAATATACTAAAAGTCATTGAATTATACACTTAAAATGGATGAATTTTATGGCATGTAAATAAGTCCTTAATAAAGATTTTTTTTGAAAAAAGAATTCATCATGAATTGGACAACAACCAGTGTATCATTGATGAGAGAAACTAAATAGATAAACTATTTTTGAAGGGCAGTATGGCAGTGTCTATCAAGACTTTAGATATATATACCCTTTGACCCTCCAACATTTTTAGGAATTTGTCCTACATATGTACTCATATAAGTGCACAAAAATCAATGAACAAGGAATCTTGCCTGAAATAATTTGAAATTTTAAAAATCCCCCAAACATTCTAAATGTCTTTTATTAGGGTAATAGTTACACAAATTATGATATATCCACAAAATAAATTATTATTCATAATTTTTTAAGGAATAAGGTAGACATTTAGGTACTGTTGTGTCTAAGATACATTGTTAAGTAGAAAAAAAAGTAAATTATGTAACATATACACGTTCCCACTGGTATAAATAAAAGTGTTTGTACATGCACAGAGAATGAAAAGATAAACCCTAATATTGTCTCTGAAGGGTAGGGTTTGGCTAGAAGGGAATAAAGGCCTTTACTTTTAATTTATGTATGTCTTTACACCATTTTAACTTTTCACAAATAACATGTATGAGTCGTATAAAAAACAAATGTAAATTAATTAGTAAAAGCCACTAATGAAAAAAGCAAGTTAAAAAAGAGAGGCAGTTAGTTGGTCACCACTTGAGGATTGACAGTTAAATATACTGAAACTTCTAAGGTAGTAAAAAGGAGCCCTACATCATAGTTAACTTATTTTGTGAGTGATCCCCACAGTCTCTGCATTGGTGCAGCACAAGAAAGGTAGCTCTTAAGGGTTTCAGTAGATCGTATATGGCATTATACGAGAGATTAAAAATGGCCGATTATATAGGTAGCTCAGTGAAGATACCACTCTTAGAGGAATCATGGACAATTTTCCACCTGCTCCTTATGGTGGCAATCTGTTCAGTATTGAACTGTTTTTCTCTGATGGAGGAGTATAAAAAGACCGTCTTTGCTTCACTCTAAGTACATGACAGCGGGGTAGTAATAGTAACAATTACTATTTACGGAATGTCTACTCTGGACTGGGTACTTTACATGTACACATTTTCCCGAATCCTTGCATCAAGCGTGCAACGTAGCAATTATGGTCCTCTTTCCCTCATTTGACAAAACAGGCTCAGAGAATGAAATTCCTTGCAAGAAGGGGCACAGAGAATAAGTGTTCATAGAGCAAGGTCTCCTTGCTGTCAAAGCTGACACTCTTCCACCAAGTCTCACAGCAAGATAGAACGCTATTTATTAGAGAGAACATCTTTGATGATTTGAACAGCCAAGCAGTGTCACATCAAGGTTCAAATGCTTACCTGTTCATCTACCTCTTGAGAACTGTCAATGTCAGTGCCGTTTGTTTCAAACTTTCCATATGTACCACTAAGAGATGAGCTGCTGTCACTTATGCTACTTTCCGGGGTGCCTGTGACACTGTCACTAGCTGGCCGTGAGGACACAAAGAGGCTGATGTTATCAAAATCCTCATCACCGAACCTGTTCTCAGTGTCCACCTTCTGTGCTTTCGCTGGGTTGTAAGGTTTTAAGAAGGAGGAATACACATATCCTTTTATAACTGGATACGAATAAAAAAGAAAGAAGAAACAAGGTCATTTGTATGTACCCTCACTAAACATTTGTGTTTAGAGAAGCACAGAGAGGCCCCTGGGAAAATCTCAACTTGAAAAGAGGTGGTACTTCTGTGCATTTCATGCAAAAAACTTACTTCCTGTGTCAACAAGCCACCTGCTTGTACTCCCCAGTGGATCCTTCTGTTCCACCACAGCCACCAACTCCCCTTCCAGAAGATTGATGTCATATTCTTGGGTAGCATTGCACTTCCGCTTCGCTTGGTAGAGTTCTTCTTTACTGTACGTGGATAGAAGTTTGGAGCGGTGAATGTCAGTTTGACGGGGCACTTCTGGCTGGGAGAAGTAAGGAGAAATTTATGTTTAGATAGATGCATAATAAAATTTTCACTAAGCTGGCAAAGATTTCTTCTTTGGAGATTTTTTTTTAAATGTTGAAGCCATACATTGATTTGGGATTATTTCAATGTTGAAGCGTTGATGGAGTTATTATTGTGAAGCATCCAGCTGAGTTATGTGGTGAAAAATTCTCTAGTTAGCACATGAGGGCAGTGTTGCAGAGAAGAAAATTCAACCGAGTATAAGAAGGCAGAGGTTCTAATCCCTCTTCGATGGAACAATTTTTAATTTTTGCCATCCTGTAGACAATTCCTTGCGTATCAAGCACTTGATAAGTAATATTTAATTAAGTAAATTGTACGTGTGCATGTCTTTTCCTGGGAAATAATATCAGTAAATTAGGCAGGAGGCAAGAGCCTAGGCCCCTCCCAGCTCTTCCTCTAGTGACTTTGAGAAGCCACTTCATCTCTGCAGCCTGGGATTCCTTATCTAAAAAAATGAAACAGTTGAACTACTATGATTTTGCTCTACAAAATTCTATTCATCCATTCAACAGATATTTATATCTGTTGTCAGGCACCATCTTAACAGCTTGGAATAGATCACGTACAAAACGGGTAAAAATCTATGACCTTACAGAACTCATAGTATAGAAGGAAGAAATAGACAAGAAATCCTACATATAATAGGTTGGTAAATTACAGGATATTAGAATGAGATAAGTGATTTAGAAAATAATAGATACTGTGATTTGAACAAGGAAAAGTAATGAGAGTTATTGTCAGGAATCCTACCAAACTCACCAGAATTTGCACAGGCTTCTTCTTTTCAAAACTAAGCTTCCTCTCAATAAAGGTGGTACTGTTGTCCTTTACAAAATTAAGATTTTGAACCTCTTCTAGTACTTGATTCTGAATTTCAGAGATTCTTGAGGCCAACGGTGGTACCTATAGGTAGAAATGATATGGCATTGTTCTCAAACAACTATTTAACCATATTAGGTATTAAATTTAGTAGAGTTGTGACAAACAGAGAAAGTGTAAGATAGCTCCACAGAAAAAAATTAGGGCAATGTTAGAACTTTTGGATAAAAATGGTCTAATTTGCTGTCTCCAGAAACATCACTAAAAATGATAGGGATAATTGTTTTTAAAGGCTCAAGCCTAGAGGTGCCTGGGTGGCTCAGTCAGTTAAGTGTCTGCCTTTGGCTCAGGTCATAGTCTCGGGATCCTGGGATAGAGCCTCACGTCGACTTCCTGCTCAGTGGGGGAGTCTGCTTCTCCCTCTTCCTCTGCCCCCTCCTGCCCCCCGCTCATTCTCTCTCTCTCAAATAAATAAATCTTTAAAAAATAATAAAGTTTCAAACCTAAATAAAAGAATAGAAGAGAAATAAAAAGCAATGGAATTTTGGAAGAAGGGCTCAGGAATCAATGGCAGAAGGGTCCTCCAAAGTGGTCGGGGGGGATAGTGGGAAGGAGAAAGAAGCTACAACGAGAAGCATTGGTCAAGAGCCTGTGCTGGTTTTAAAACAAATCAGCAAATTCTTTGACATGCCTCTCATAAAGAGGTGGAGTCCATGACTTTTCTCCTCAAAAGTGCGTGGGTTTTTAAAATTGCTTCCATGAGTAGAATGTGGACATGAAGAGAACAACAGAAGTAATGCTATCTGACCTTCAAGATTAGGCTAAAAGAGACCATGTGGTTTCTGCTGGTTTCTCTTGGGACACTCACTCTGAGACCTGGAAGAAGTCCAGTTGCACTGTGGCCACCATATCAAAAAACCATGTTGAAAGATTGGGTGGGGTCGGTCTATGGAACCCCAACTGTCCTCATTCTCAACTATTTGAGTCTTCTCTCATCATCCTATCCCCCACCCCAGACATGGGCTTGAGGAAGTCTTTGAGATGACTCTAGCCCCAGCTATTATGAGACTGCAACCTCACAGAGGCACTGAGAATGACTACGCGGAGCCCAGGGAACCTCCAGAACCATGAAAGACAATAGTAATAAATGACCATTGGTTGCTACATGCTGATATGATTTGTTATAATCACGCAGTTATAGACAACTGGAATCATCCAAATATCCATCAGTAGGAACAGGTTGATACCCAAAACCATGCAAACTGTATGATTCCATTTTTATGAGATACAAACCAGGCATAACAGTCTATGGTAACACATCAATGCATCCCCAGGAGGTTAAAAAGCAAATTGCAGGATGGTGCTGTAATATCCCAGTTTTCTATAGGAAAAATATATACATATTTGCATTTGCTTCTAATGGCGTGAAGAAACCCTAAATGGATAAACTAGTAACAATGGGGGTGGGGGTTAGGGAACAGGAGTCTGTGCGAGACTGCTTATACATTTTTATGTAGTTTTGCCTTTGAATCATGTAAATGTAGCACCTGATTTTTCAACTTAATTTATTCAAAGGATAAGTTAAAAGTTAATTAAATACACAGTAAAAAATAAAATCAGGACAATTAATTTTCCTCCAAATGTTGTCCATTAAATATCTAACCAGCTGAATAAGAATTAATTGAAATGAAGGGCAAAGAAACCACACTGATTTTTTAAGTTGATATTAGCTTGTAAATATCATTCTTCTTCCTCAGGAAAATCGTCATAAAATCATATCCTAATGGAGAGCTAAATTACACACACACACGCACACACACACGCATACACACACACCCTAGACTTCTTTACCTAGAGGAAAACAAAAGCAAAAAAAAAACTGGTTTGACAGTTATCCTGTTGCTGTCATTACATGGAGATGGCTTTCTTTTTCGATCCACGTCTTAAATAGTCATAGTTAGCACTGAAGAACTGTTGAGTAGGAGGAGATTACAAAATTCAAATTGATAAGCTTCAGCAGAGCATCAAGCAGCTGGAGCTAAAAGGTGTTTGGCATTTGAAAAGAAACCTCCAAGAAGACCTAAGGTGGGCCAGGCACAATAAACCTGAATTAGGAAACTTTCCCATGGAGAAAAGAGAAAGAAATTTAAAAACTGTGACTGGCTTCAGTTAAATACCACCCCACCCCCACCCCCACGCCACATGTGCACATGCACCGCACATGTGCACACCATGAACAGAGCCATTGCACATGGCTGTGGTTTCTAGCAGATCCTGCTGGCCTAGCTAGCCAGGTGCTGGTGCAGAGCTTACCGGCGCCACCGTGGAATAAACCTGCCGAGCCGCAAGTGTCAGGTCCCTGAGGAGAGCCATGAAACTGCACAGACAGTTCCACAGAATCTTCCGAGCAGCCTGGTTGAACACCTGGAGCTCCTCCACGAGCTGGGCATTGAGGGCCTCGTACTCCTTTTTGGCCAAGTCTGACTCGTCTCCTGCTGCCCGTGGTAGGGAGCTGTTGCAGTCCAGCAGTTTGTCATAGCGTTTCTGGATGAGCTTCTGAGGCCCTGTGAATAAGGACAGCAGGGCCGACAGGGGCATCAGGACGAGCCTCTGCAAATGGGCTGCCTGCCGAGAGAGAAAAGCAATCCTGTGACAGAGTAAGGAGCAACCAGTACAGGTCCTGCACTACCACCAGTAGGCTTACTTCCTCCCTGCAGGAGCTCAGAGGAAGACAGGAAAGTATATAGCCAAGTTAAGAGACCATGTGATCTGGGGCACCTGGGTGGCTCAGATGGTTAAGCATCTGCCTTCAGCTCAGGTCATGATCTCTGGGTCCTGGGATTGAGTCCCCCATTAAAGCTCCCCGAACCCCGATCAAGTCCCATATTGGGCTCCCATCTCAGCGGGAAGTCTGCTTCTCACTCACCCTTTCCCCTCTCCTCGTGCTCTCTCTCTCAGATGAATAAATATAATCTTAAAGCAAGAGAGAGAGAGAGAGAGAGAGGATGTGATCTTTTTTGTCCAACTAAACCTGCTCCAAGACTTAAAACAGGGACTCTAGACTCTAACACTGAATGTAAAGAATGAACAAGAAGAGGAATACAAAAGTTAAAGCCTGCACACCCAAAATGCACTCCATGTTTCTCTCTAAAGCCATTGGTTTTGTCATTGGGGTCATCTTCAACACTTTCCCCTTCCCCTCCTTTCTAATCCTAGAGCCCAGCGGAGTTACTCCAGCACAGGGGTGGGAGGCAAACTCCAGTCTTTGACCACTAAGACTGTGCAAATGACTCACCATATCATTCCCTTCCTTTGCTGACAATAAAAGGAAGGTAGTCTTAGAAGACACTGTATCCTATTCCTCCCACATCTGCCCAATTCCCTGGCTACCCTGATGTCTCATTTTGGGTAGATGAGCTTTTTACCATATACAGATAAGCACCTCCTTATTTTTTTTAAAGATTTTATTTATTTATTTGGCAGAGAGAGAGACAGTGATAGAGAGAACACAAGCAGGGGGAGTGGGAGAGGGAGAAGCAGGCTTCCCACTGAGCAGGGAGCCCAATGTGGGGCTCGATCCCAGGACCCTGGGACCATGACCTGAGCTGAAGGCAGACGTTTAATGACTGAGCCACCCAGGCACCCCTAAGTACCTCCTTATTATAGGTATTTTGCTCCTATGATAGAAAAGACAACAGAGTTATTGCTTTCTCTTTAAATACATTGAAAGATTAAACTGATGCTGGTTCTGTTTCTTAAATTTTTACATTTTAGGGTTAGTCATTTTGAGTCACTGAAAATGAACTTCATATTAACCCCCAACCCCATGCCAGCACCTAAGTATCCTAGATTTACTTTCTTCTATTTCTCTTTCCTCCCCCTCTCTTCTGAAGTGCACTAGTATCCTGTGTTTGCTGACTGCCGACTTTACGCTTTATCATATATGCATGGGTTACATGATTGTTACAGCAATTTAGAAGCAGGTTTCTCTTTTGTACCCTGGAAGATGTCCTAGGGAATCAGCATCGGAGCAGCAGGTTTTATTAATTAAACAGCCTCTGGTAACTTTGTCTGAACTCATGGGAAATCTACAAGAGAGGGGAAACCAATCTCTTACTGGCACTAGCAATAGACTACACAGATTAAATTTGATGTCTATCTTCTAAAATAATCAATATATACCTGCAGACTGTTTAATGAGTCCTTTGACTAAGCAAAGGATCTGTTTACTGTTCTGATAAATTACTATATTGTAACTTGACTGGATTCTACAGGTAATTACAATATTACAACATAATTACTATATACATATATGTATAGTATAGACATATACGTCTGTGGTCACAGGATATCCTGTGACCACAGACATAAACTGATTCCCATTCACCTGGGCATAGGAATTACGATTGGAACACATAAGAATTAGATTTTCTTTTAATATTTTTTCCTATTCAAAATACATACGCAAGTACTTTTCAAGGTAGATAAGCATTTTTCAAAGTTAGATAAAAACACTGCTCTGCCTTTAGATAGATTTTTGAATTCTTATGAACATTTGATTTTTAAAAAGGAGTTTAATACACTTTATTCATAAGTAAAAAAGTTACTTTTATATTGATCATTGTGATAATTATTTTAATTTAGCTTAATTTATCATCTTGTGGTTTTATGCAAGGAGGACAAGAACACAGCTCTTCTTCCATCAAATTCTGGACATGCTTGCTGAGGAGAAGGTGTATACCATGCTCTTATGTGGTGCTCAATAAATACTTATCGACTTAATACATTGGAATTAAGCTAAAGAGCAAACCCTTAAGGACTTTTCTAAAATGTGCTGTCTGTAATTAAGCCCAGAAAATGTATAAAGAACTAGCCACACTGTTTCCATTTAACATCCATCGTAAAAACTTCTCTCTCTCTCTCTTGCTCTCTCACTCTCATTTACCTGATCGATCATTTTAGTTCAGATGTAATCCTGACTTGCCATTCCCCAGTGCCACGAAATAAGATGCTTCCGAGTGTTTTCTACTGGCGGGTAGGGCTGTATCACTTCCTAGGATTTGGAAATATGTGGGGCTATTCACTGGATGTCATGACTTGAGATTGGGGGGAAATTATTGAGATTTAGAGCCTGGTACACCAGGAATGCTAAACATCCTCCAACACAAGGGCCTCTCAATGAAGAACTGTCTGACCCAAAATGCCAATAATGCCAACACAAAACTGCCTCTTTCAAGGACCTTCAAGATGATGAAAGAGTCTATTATGGCTTCTCTATAACATACTACTATGATATAATAATACCTATGGAACACAAGATACTAAATTAAAATTAGTACTACTCAAACTAATTTACCAGCCAAATATTTCTAGGGTCAAGCAGGTTTTTAGGATTCCCAAGCTATGTTTTATAATTCTGTATATTTTACAGAACTCATAGAAAACAAACTCAGAGGTAAAAGCCCTTTCTCAATAAGAAGGCTTTACTTTCCAGTATATAGTGTGTTAATAAAAGTCACATCTTCAGAGAGTATCTTCGCTCCTCCTGTAAGGACTCTGGACTTTTCCAGAGACTCCTTTAGGAAAATCACAGCTTGCTAACTTAATAAATCTGTCATCTATCACATGCAGACTTAAACTAAATGTTGATTTTAAAAGCTACACAGAGACGCCTGGGTGGCTCAGTCGGTTAAACGTCTGCCTTCAGTTCAGATCATGATCCCAGGGTCCTGGGATCGAGTCCTACATTGGGTTCCTTGCTCAGCTGGGAACCTGCTTCTCCCTCTGCCTGCCACTCCCCCTGCTTGTGCTCTCCTTCTCTGTCAAATAAATAAATAAAATCTTAAAAAAAAAATAAAGGCTACACTGACTACTCCTAGAAACACAGTCTGGAACCCTCTTAAATTTTGATCATAGTAAAAAATCTACACTAACTCACTTTAAAATAGTTAATAATGAAAACAAAAACCCCTTCTGTTTAAATCTACTGATTTTGACATTCATATTTGCTTTAGTGCCTGTTTTATTTCTAACACCAGAAAAATAAATAAAAAGCAGCTTTCCTCTTAACCCCACTTTCTAATTTATCTGTGAATATAAAAAACTTACAAAGTCATCACAGGGATTCAGGGCATTCCTTGGGGCCTCCGAATGGCTCGTCTCCTCCTTGTCTTTGTTGCATGAGATCTCCTGGAGCTCCATGACACTCCGCAGCGCTAGGGGCATGGCATCCTGAAACCCAGGGACAAAGTCACAAAATGGGCCAAGTTCTGAAGTTCCATACAATTAAATATATCCCAAATGTGTACTTCATCATCATAGCCCTCCATTACCACGGAGAGATAAAAGGAAAAAAAGGAAGTAAAAAAAGTCATGAATACTCTGTACAATGAGGTTATGTGTAACAATCTTTTCTTATTTTCCCCGTCACTTTCTCCTACTGCTCTGTATGACACCTTCTTTATTAAGTGGACTCCATCCTAAGGTCCCTCATTGGCCATTCTTCACCATTCAGGTCTTACTGAACCCCTTATTTTAGAAATCACTCCTTTTTGATTTATGTCTTCAGTTTCCCCTAGTGAATTTTTAAAAGAAGATGCTCATGTTTTTGTTGAATTGGTTAATAGAAATAGAAGACTTTCCTACAGTTGTTCCCAAGTTGCATTCACTTCATGAAATGTATATGAAGGACAGGGTTCCCACTGCTCTGTCTGGCTGTTGTAACTGAGTTTTGGTTTTCTTTTCACAGAAAGCAGAGCTTTAGGAAGAGATTAGCAAACCTGATTGGAAAATCAGGCTTTGCATCAGTTAATAAATGAGAAAGGAATGTGGCCTCTTGGTTACATAACATAGAACCTTTTTTCCAAATCATCATGCCTGTTAACCTAATCCTCTTTTGGTATGATAATTTACCTATGTATGCAAACATCTGCTTCCAAAAATAGATATCCAAGATAAAAACTGGAAAATGGGAAGGAGGTCAATTTGTTAACTCAGTTATGTGGAATTCTACTAATTGTCTATGTCTCCCAGTCATGACCATTATCAAGATGTTGTTGAGGACACTATGTCTTCTTTATGAGATCCATTCTGTCTCTACTAAATATAATTATACTGCACTTCAATTGGTTTGGTTGTCAGTGATTCTCAACAAGGGCGGGAAAACTTCCTGGGGGATTGGAAATTAGTGGGGTTGCTTTTTTCTTCTACTATGGTTGTGTGGGTGTATTTGCATATTGTAGTTCTTATTATTTTGTAAGAATTTATTTTCCTTTACACTGATTTTCTTTCATGTAGACCTACCTACCTAAGGTTGAATTACCTGTGAATTTCATGCAGAACTCTAAAGGGGGCATTATGAAACACCAGTTATAAAATAAATAGACGTGCTCTGTTCATCTAGGGTTGTGTGATCGTATGTCCTTTTTTCAAGTTGGCTTCTCAAAGACTTACAGCTAAATTTGAGATCCACATGTGGGTTTCTGCAGTTTTTATATGGCCTTTATGTTCTGCTCTTTTTGCTCCTTAGTTCTCTAATTTCATTTTATGTCCCCCTTTGATTTCCTTTTTTCTTTCAGTACCACTTTTAAATTTGCAAATATGTGTTTTAGGTACTAGAAAGGGATATGTTAGTATAATCCAACAAATAAGAAAATTTCTGCCAAATCAATTTTGTATTAATGAACTCATTTCTATTATAAGGAAAGCGTGCTGATGGTCCACCACCATGTGGCAATCATGTGAGCTTATGTCCCACAACACGGCGACTTCAACTGGGAGAAGGACGGAGCAGACACGGGAACAAAGAACAAAATCTACATCCTTATACTGGCTTCCCTCACCAGCAGTTTGCAGCCTCCCAAATTTGATACAGTATCAATGAATTTTATCATATAAATTCGATCACATAAATGCACGAACATTCACACGTACTCTTCAGAATAACCGTGGACATCAATACCTTCTCGTAGAAACCCTGGAACCGGTTGTCTTACACTACCTGGATATGTTGAAGACAGAGGGAAATGTTCTTCACGCAATGCCTCACCGTCTTTTCTAAAGATCTAAACAGCTTTTCTTCTCTATTGAAGGTATTGTCTTTCACCTATAATGTAGATGAAATTATTTTTATAACTCGAACAAATCTGGTGTTTTAAAGAAATATCACAGGCTGTATTAGCCCAGCACATGACAAAGAGACCCCTTGTTGAGAAGAAAACCTTCCATGTCATGCTGACTGCCTTAGCACAGTACTTGCTGTGTACAAGCACACAGCGCAGCTTCAGTTAGTGTGGCGAAGCCGCATGCTGCCGGTTAATCCGCCGTTCGGCTTTCACAGAGCTTCGTCTATGTGATGGTAGCTGGGGCAGGTAAAACTTTCTCTGCAGTTTCTAATGGCATATATTATATATGTACTCTGAAATTACTTCCCATTTGTGGGTTCGTAAAATAATTAATACAAGAAAAAATCAAAATTTAAATAAGATAAACATTTCATATATTTTTTTAAGATTTTATTTATTTATTTGACAGGGAGAGACACACAGAGAGAGGGAACACAAGCAGGCGGAGTGGGAGAGGGAGAAGCAGGTTTTCGGCCGAGCAGGGAGCCCAATGTGGGATTCGATCCCAGGACCCCTGGATCATGACCTGAGCCGGCAGACGCGCAAGGACTGAGCCACGCAAGCGCCCCAAACATTTCATCTCTCTCTTTTTTTGTGCTTTATTTTTTTTAAAGATTTTATTTATTTATTTGAGAGAGAGAGAATGAGAGATAGCACGAGAGGGAAGAGGGTCAGAGGGAGAAGCAGACTCCCCGCTGAGCAGGGAGCCCAATGTGTGGGACTCGATCGCGGGACTCCAGGATCATGACCTGAGCTGAAGGCAGTCGCCCAACCAACTGAGCCCCCCAGGCGCCCAACATTTCATCTCTTGACTAGAACTTACTGTTTTGTTGCTATGACTCATCCCAATTAATTTCACCGTGGTTATTTAGAAAATATACTTAGCTTCTTGGCTAAAAAATGCAGTAATTCTTTACCAACTCAAATTTGAAAGGTTGAATGTGATCTTGGCCAAAAGAGTCCTTTTGTGGGGAAAACTCAGCAGAGTTAAGATAGTAGTCACATGTGTTCAGTTATTTTTTGATATTTTATTTTATTGATAAGACCATAATTATTATTATTAATGGTGAGAAGTATTTCTTGGCTATCATAATGGTGACAAAAGAAGAGCAGAACCAGCTTCATGCTGCCAAAATCTGTGTGAACATGCAAATGATTTGTGGCATATGGTGGGTATTCTTTGGTTTGGTCCTGGGTAGTAACCATAGCTGCTCTCTGTTCATAGGTCTGTTAATTTAAGATGGTTGACCTTGGTGGGGGTGGGGTGGGGAGGATGGTTGACCTTAGAACTGAATGCACAGAAAATGGTGATATTTTATTTTTAAACCCTTAATATTGTTTATCTAAAAAGCTTTTGATTAAATAGGTGGCATAGTTCCTTGTAATTCACACAACATTCAATACCATCTGCCTTATGATCTCTATGCTCTAATCTAGTTTGATGTATAGAACAATATGCTGGGGCAGACTATTTTATTTTATTTTATTTTTTAAAGATTTTATTTATTTGACAGAGAGACACACAGCGAGAGAGGGAACACAAGCAGGCTTCCCGCTGAGCAGGGAGCCCGATCCGGGGCTGGATCCCAAGACCCTGGGACCATGACCTGAGCCGAAGACAGACGCTTAACGATTGAGCCACCCAGGCACCACTGGGGCAGATTATTTTAAATGCGGGTTTCAAGGACCCTTCACCAGCTATTTTGTGTATCTTGGCAGAGATCCAGATGATTCTAAAATAAGAGATCCAGGGATCACAGTATGAGAAATATTGTCCAGTTCTACATTCCTATAGCCAAGCCCTTCTCATGCTGTTTTATTTTGCTGGAATATGCTGCTGTCCCTTTTTCTGCATTGCAAATATCTGTTTAATTTTTTTAAGGACTCAACTGTCACCCCTTCTATGAAACCTCCCTGGAATTCCTATTTTTTTCACCGTAGAAAATTAATTGCTCCCCCATGTGCTCTCACAACACTAGTTAATTAAGTGATTCTCTCCACTGATAAATGGCAAGCCTTTGAGATTAAGTATTTTTTGTCTTAGTAAAAATAATAGCTAACATTTATTAAACACTAACTATGTTCCAGACATGGTGCTACAACCTGCTTTCCATTTTCTCATTTTAATTCTTCTAAAACTTTACGGCACAGGTGCCACAATTAATCCCATTTTAGAGATAAACCGAAGCTTGGGAGCTGTGGCAGGGATAGTTGATGTTCCCCCGTCATCCTTTTACTGACAACATTTGCACCTCTAGTTTAAGTTGGACGCATAGCTGCCCAGCCAGCGACTACCCTTTCCAGCCTCCCCTGCCGCTGGTTCTGCCCTCGTAACTGGTTTGGGTAACTAGATGTTAGCTAAGTGATGTATTTCATTTCTGAATTTTGGCCTTCCAGCATTGTCCTTGGGACAAGACTGAAGGCACAGTGGTGACCCAACTTCAACCAAGCAGCTGAAGACAGCATGTTTGGGGAACAGCAAAACCCTCCAATTGGGGACAATTGGGTTCCTACAGAATTTTGTGCAGCAGAGCCCACATCTCAGGACTATTGTAAGAGAGAGAAAGAAATGACTATCCAGCTTCAGGTACTTTGTTTTGGAATCTCTTTGTGAAAAGAGCTTGGCCTTTATCCTAAATAATATAGAAAGTTAAAGAAATTTACCCATGTTAATAGGTAGAACCAGGATTCAAACCCAAGGAGTCTGAATTCAGAATTTCTTTGTATTCTCTATCTCTAACACAGTGTCTGGTACATAGAGTTCAATACATGTGTGATGAATTGAATAGAATCTTCCTCTTGGGTAATAGTTTTATACCCTAACTCCACCAAATATTTCACTTGAACTGCTGACAAGTGCAAAATTGACTGATTTGAGATTTATCTCTTCTGCAGTTCAGCCTATGTAGCTGATTTTCTGATTAACAGTGAAATGCTTCATTGCTGACAGGACATCTTCTCAAAAGATTAAGGGGAAAATCTAATTAATATCCCTTCAGGCCACTTTACCTACAATTCACTTTTACTTCACAATTGGAAAATATCAGAAGCTGATGATAAATATGTTAAGGAATGTAACAGCTTCTACAAAAACCTGCTCAGAATTAAGACTTGCCTATTGTTCCTCAATAGAATTGTCTTAAGTCAGAAGCAACAATCTAAAGAGTAGGGGAGAATTGTGTGCATGACATTTACACATGCCTATGGAGGCTACAGTCTCTCTCAAATTGAATTCCCAATCCAATTTTATTACTGTTGCTTTTAGTTCAAATGTCTTGATTTTCCTTTCCCTGATCTGTGACCATACACCATAATGTCCCAAACTTCTCACATTATAGTTTCACATTGGGAGAGGGGCCTGGAGTTATTTCCTGCATGCAATGGACCCAGTGAGCCCCTAGAAAAACAGAAAGAAGTATTAAGAACAATGATACACGCCACGGATTCTAAGAATGTCCATATTGGATATGGAATAGGAAGGAAGTACAGCCACAAGAGGAAACAAAAACAAGGCTTGGAAGAAGTTGATTATACTGACAAGTCCTAAAGAGGAGGTCATTGCATGCCATATGGGGCCACAGGGCAATCACTGGTTTTGGTCATGTGGCAGAAAGGAGCAAGGGGAAAGTCAAGGTCAGAGCCTTTATTGTGGTTTTTGTGGGCAACCCTATAGAAATAGCTGGTCAGGATAAACAGTTCAGGATGGGCCAGTTTGGGTAATTCCCATGGGCTTTGGGCTTTCATGGTGGTTTCTACTTGCCTGGTACCTCGCCCTAGGATGATTTAAGGCAGAAGAACACTGGCTTAGTGTGTAAGAGATAGATTAGAAAGTGTGGGGGGGGCTATAGACTCAGGGCTTGGTTCTCATATGAAAGAATTGATCCCAGCTGAGCCCTTTGTTTTCTCTAAGAATGGATTAGCTCTGGGAGGAGCATCTCTCAGGGCCCAGCAGCTTTTTCAAGATGTCAACATTATAAAATACAGAAAGTAAAAAACCTAATACACCATGCATAAAGGAATTTATATGTATGTGAGAAGTAAGAAGTCTGTACATTAAAAGTTGGTAAACAGTAATACACTGTAGTGATATGAAGTGATGAGGATGATGATAGCCAATACGTACTGAGTGCTTACCATCTGTGTTAGGTACTTTCTTCATATGCGTCACCTCATTTCATCTTCACAAGCCCTCCACGTGGTAGGTCCTAGTATAATCTTAATGACTCCCTTGGATTTAAGCTATGGGCCCAAAGGCATATATTGATTAAGTGGCAGAAGTGACGTTCTAATCCAGATCTGGATGACTTCAAAGACTTGGCCCTTACTTTCTGCCCTGTGCTGACTGGCAGATGTTCACGGTGCCAGGATTGGAAAACACTCAGCAAGCTTGCCAGGCATTCAGAAGAGGAAGAGGCCACTACTATCTTAGGGTCAGAAAGCTGCAAAGACTTAATGGAAAAAAGGAAAAAGACCATGGCCGCTAAAGAGTGAAGTAGATAGGACAAGCCAAAGAAAACCAATGCTGAAATACCATATGGTAGCCTCTAGTTCAAACTAAAAACCTTAGAGATGTTAACATAATAAGTGATGAAATCAGGCAAATGAGAAGAAAAAAAAGTACCATATAGTATCTTAAGAACTGCCCTGCCTTCTGCCCAGTGAATTACCATCTCCAGGCCATGAAGTTTCTATCTTGTGATTCTCAAAGTGTGTTCCGTTGGTCACTTACTTCAAGGTCATTTAGCTTCAAAACACCTGGAGTTTTGTAAAAATACAGACCACTAGGTTGCACCCTTGAACCAGGTGGAGCCCTGGAATCATTTGGCAAGCTCCTCAGGTAATTGTTCCACACCTTAAAGTTTGAGAGCCTTTGCTAATCCATCCATTATTTATTGGGGGTTGAGATGAAAGTGGTTCAAACCAGGCTAAACAGCTGACACAGAAAAATTGCCCAGTAATATAACGTGCATGGGGGTGCAGAGAGAGGAAGAGGGTCAAGGCAGCCCACTAAGGTAGGCACCTAACCCCCCTCTTCTTAAATAGGTGAAATAAAGATAAGATGAACATTAAGGGAACCCAAAAGGAAAGTGAGGTTTTTAAAAAGCAGAGATAAGTTAGGGATGAAAGGAGGACATTGCCTTGGGTGCGATCATGTACTGGTTGATGGTGAGAGTTAGGACTTCTGGGGTATCCCACATTGACCCCTGTCTTCACATCCTTTTCTCTCCTTTGCTTCCTGAGTGGAAGCACCATAGCTAAAATAGTGTCAAAACCACCCGCACTCCATTTCCCCCAAGAGAGGGAGAAAGAAAGAATCAGCATCAGGCAATGACCTTGATTCTCAGTGTTCTAGAAACAGCTCTGATAACAACCAACAAAACCCTCACAAAAATATCAGCATTCACACGCCCCAGGAGGATGTATATGGCCGAAGAAGAAAAATTACCTGGGGTTCTCCTCTGGTTAGAATCTTTAGGTGATTTGTCACTCTTTTTGATTTCTTGCTAATTGAATGAATGTTTAGTTTAGACAATTTATCTTTAAGTGATTCCTCCTCATCATTCTTCTTGTATTTTAGAACTGAAATAGAAGAATGCAATCACATATCTGAACACGTGCAACATAGAAAGTGTGTGTTTCATCCAAAGAATTCAAGATCCATATTTAAGATAGAAATCTATGTGATTTTTGACCCTCTGATGCAGATGCAATATGCTCCGGCCCCACTGCCCGGGCATAAGCCCAGCTGCCCAACCCACTGATCGGAAACTCAGCTGTCCAGGGGCTTGAGCTCCTCAAAGCCCATGGTCCATTTACCTTCCACGTTAAAGAAATCTCCGACACTGGAGAAAAACTTTCTCTCTTCTCAGATAATACATTTGTTATCTTCAGTCTCTAGAATGAAGCATCAAAGCCTAGCTAAGAAGGCTGCACCAAGCATAAGGAGACCTCAGACTCTGGAGTGGCTCTCCACTAGCTGAGACTTTCGGGGTAAGTTGAGTCACCTCTCTGAGCTTTATCTTTTTATCTTTAAGATCACTTTCACCTCTCATATTGTTCAAAATGTTAAGTATTTCTAACATTCAGTTTTGGTCAGTGTGCTGGGAGATGGGCAATCTTACACACTGTTGGTGAGGATTAAACCAATACAGTTTTTGTGGAGAACATTTGGGCAGAATCTTCTAAACATATTATCTATGACCAGGAAGTCCGTGCAGAGAATTTGCTTTCCATAATCAAGTATACAAAGTTTTGTTTGCTACAGCATTTTTTTTTCCAATAGCACAATATTGGAAACAATCAGAAAGTTTATCCATAGAGGAAGAGTTAACTAAATTAGGACACACTCAGAAATAGAATACCAGGGAACCATTAAAAAGAAGACCAATATTAACTGGAAGAATGTTCATGATATGTAATTAAGTTTAAAAACCAAGCCCAGCAAACTGTAGTGCCACACATGTTCAGGACAGATGGAGAGAAGGAGAAGAAAGAGAAAGAAGAAAGAAAATAGAAAAAAAAAACATAGAAAGTCTGAAGAAAACTTATGACATGTCAGCTATGCAAACTGGAATCATGGGAGTGGAAAATTTTTCCACTTTAACACTGTGAAGGAGTTTAAGCAAACAGAAAAGTAAAAATAATAATATAACAATTTTCTTTCAGCCTTGTCAAATCCTAACATTTCACCTTGCTTATCTTCATAAAAATAATCAGCTGAAGTTTCTCTGATCCCCATCTTTGGTCCCTTAAAGGGGATTATGATCCTAAAGAATGGGGTTGACTATATCTGTATCTATTTTTACACATTTATTGTATATGGATTTGTACAATGCATAGTATTGTTTTGAATGTTTTCAATGTTTATACAAATGCACCATATTGCGTATATATATTCTTCTGTCACTTGTAATTTACTTTTTAGAAAATTCAACATTGTGTTTTTGAGGTTTATTCAATTGACACATGCATTTTAATTTTTATGTTCTCATGGTGTCATAGTGTCCAATACACAGTTTGTCCATTATCTGGTTAAATATGTAAGCTATTTTCTTCTTGTTTTTATGAACAATAGTAGTTACTAGTATACCTGTCTATGAGCATATGGGAAAGAGTTTCTCAAATATCTAGAGATTGATTTTCTGAGTCTTAGGTGTGGGCATCTTCAACTTTACTAGATATTGTCAAATTGTTCTCCTTAGTGGTGATTTCCACTACATTCTCACCTGCAGATTGAGATTCAGCACCTAATGTTATCCCTAAAAAATCCTTTTGCCAGTCTGATAGGATGGGAATGGTATGTCATTGTAATTTTAATTTGCATTTCTCTCCTTATAGATGAAGCTTAGTGTTTAAAAATGTATTGGTCTTTCTGAATTGCTTCCTTTTATTATTAACCTTTTTTATATTAGAATGTTTTTATTATTGATTTAATATCAGTAATTATATATTTATACTTTGCCTATGGACTGTCTTTTAATTTGTTTATGGCATCTCTTCCTCTACAACTTTCACTTTTTTTACTCTAGGCCCTTCTTTATAATTTTAGTTTATTAATACAAATACATACTATTTTTCCAATAAAAATTTGGAAAATAAAAACAATAAAAATAAATGAAGTTGTTGGAACACTTAGCGCCAATGTCCTACCATTGCTGTAATGTTGAATTGAGATTTAATGTTAGAAGTACAAAGCCAATTAAGAACAAACAGACACAAATCACACTGACAGAAGACCCACACAATCTAACCCGATACATTACTATATCCGGGATGACAGAAACCATGTAATTGTGCCTCCTGTTTTGAAATCTACATTCCACTTCAGACGTGAATTTTACATCTTGGCTAACAAATACCTAACAATAATTTCATAATTTGAGAAGGAAATATATTTGCTCCCTTCAATGGGGCAATTATTTCTAGAAAATCTCCCTTCTTTATGTGCCAGAACCAGATGAGCTTGATGTATTAGCTGGACCTGTTTCACCACTGATTTGGCTGGAGCTTCTCACTGCTCCAGCTTCCTGGCCATGCCATGTCTCCTTCTTCCCACACATATTGCCAGTGACAGTAGGACTATGTGCTATGGTATTTTCAGCCCACAGTATGTCACCAGGCATGCAGTGTCAACAGAGGTTGAGTATAGGGCTGCTTGATTTTTTTTTAAAAATTGTCATTTTGTTGTGTGCCTCATGATCTCCTGAATCCAGCTGGCCAGGCAAACTACTCTGCTCCTTAGCCTCTAACTCTAGGTATCGAATGATCATGATCACTGCAACTGCTATAACTACTTAGATATTTTGATTCTCAGAAGTATAAGCAGAACACCCCAATCACAGAAAACACTCAATTCATCATGTCTCTTCTTACCTAAATCTTTCCGTCTTTTAAGTTCATTGATGTTCACATTAATGTCTTTTACTGCAGTGAAAGCATCTCCCAGCGCCCTGAAGTCTGGGTGAGAGGGAGGGGTGGAGCCCCGGAGTTCACACAGCAAGAGGGGGTATTTCATTACACGCTGGATTGGTTTGATCATCAAGGAGCCCATGTCCAGTAAGTTTGGCTTGCCTCTACAATAGAAACAAATAATATCAGTTTCACAGACTTGTGTCTTATTAACTCCTTCTCATTTTTGTGATTTTTTTAATGATAAATTCTGAAACTGTTTTTCTCCTTTATTTTTTCTCCATTTGGCTGCCTATACTTTCTTAAAAAAAAAATGAAGCAAGAGCAATGGATGACAGAGAGAAGCTAGGCTGAAAGACCCTACTCCTAAGCAAAAACCAATAAGAAAACACATGAGTGTATCTGTCCACCAAGAAGGACTCAAAGCAGAATTTCCATCCATGTTCCATTTATACCTTTTTTTAAAATAAGATTCATAATAATAGTGGGAAATAATTTCAGAATGCATTTTCCATGATAACCAAGAAAAATGCATTTTACTGATGGTATTTTTGTGATTATTAGTGAGGAAAAGAAATTCATTATTTAAAAAGATGACTTGCCAAGTATAGTCCAAAGAAAGCATCGTCTGCTCTGTTCTACCAAATTGAATAGTTGAATTCAAAATGTTTCAGAGGTTCTACCACAGTCCCCAAAAGAAATTTATAACAAATGCAACAGTTCTCTAAATTAATTATTAATACCACGACTATCACTAATCATTGCTCTCACGTGACTTTCCATGATTTTCCATGTGGAATACTTCTTAGCCAATAGATCTTCAAATGGCTACACAAAAGTGAGCACTCATGCCTGACTCTTCCTTTAGGAGCTTCTGAAATGAGAATAGAACAATTCCAACTAGCCAAGCAGTTCACAGGAAGTAAAAAAGCTAGAAGCTTGGTCATGTCATTGTGCAACCCACTGTTATTCATTTTTTTTAATGAGAAGTCAGTGGTTTCTAAAAGCCTTTTTATGGAAAGAGGCAAATAAAGAGACACTATAAATGGACATGGGTAGAAACTGTGCTTTGAATCTCTTCTGGTGGACAGATATACTCAGTTGTTTTCCTTTAGTCTTTTGTTTGTTTGGCTTTGGTTTTGGGGTTTTGTTTTTGTTTTTGTTTTAGTAGATAAGAATATAGATGGTTTTCAAATCCTAGTAGGTGAATTTTTTATTCTTCAGTTATTATTTCTAAATATTAATATAGATAACTTACCACATCATTGGAATGGTGAATGGATCTAAAAAACTTTGGACAAGATTAGAAAAGTTTATCATCAGAAAAGGTCTGAAAACACCTTAGAGACCATCTAATTGAACTCTTCATTTGATAAATGAGAAACTAATAAACTTTGATGATCATGTGTATGTGCACACATGCTTACACACACACACACACACACACACACCAGTCACCCTCTGTCACATCTCCCCATCTTTATTTTTATTGTAACACTTATCAACTCTCTGGAATCATTTTGTTTCCCTATTTACCAGTTTATGCTCAATTTCTCTGTCATCACTATGTCTCTGGCATGTCATATGGTATTTTCTCAATGAATATTTGGAGATTGAAGTGATAAATTTCAGATTTTCTGTAATGTGCTTCTATTTTACATTAAATTTTTTCCCCAAAAACGTTGCACAATGGTCCTGAATAATAGACTGAGGCGTTTTATCACATGCTGAGAAAATAATGTTAGTATAATAGAAAAAGACGGAAGCAAACCAAAAGGCAACATTTTTTTTTAAGGAAAATCAAAGTAAATATTAAAGGTCTACAAGGGAATAAAGAGCTGTTTTAATATGATTTATCTTATACTTTCTACCCATTTACATCAAATCTCTTAGGGAAAGGAAGAAGGGATGTAAGAAGATGTAAGAAGACAGGATGGCAAGCAGGGAATGAGGGAGATAGGGAGAGGGAGATGTTCTGTTTTCCAGTAGGACTGGGTGAAGTGGATGGGAAAAAATGTAAATCTGTTATGAATCTAAAAAAAGCAACACAATATATTTTCTAACTGATCAAAAGCAGAGCATTTGAATATGAAATACAGCATTTTCTTATATATCTCAAGCAGAGAGTCTTCAACAATACGACAGTTTAGACAGTTAAGTAGAAATAATTCCCCTAAATAAAAACAAGTCTGGAATATGGAAAGTATTAACTTGACCAGAAGAAATCATATTATTTGTATGAATATGACCAGAATTTCTTCTACATGTTTCCTTTGACTATCACCAAATATTAGTTTATTTAATCTTCTAAAAACTGAAAATGCCATCAAAATATAAATATAATCAAACAACTCAATCAAAGAAAACTCAATTTTAATAAGATAGTTTATTAGCATGGTCTATAGTTATATGAATATTTCAAATTCTTAATTACAAAAAATATCCCCAGATGTATTAAAGGACATACTTGTATCTCTGAGCTGCCTCTTTTCTTTCTTATTAAGATCTTTCAAAAAACCAGACTCAACCTTTTAGTTGTGTCCACATCTTATCATTACTTCTTTTTCCACTACTTTTTGACTCAAAGTTCTAGTCTCTCCCTTGTCTGTTTCAAATGATAATAATAACAATTATAAATGAAACTGTTTAAAAGTGTTACAAATGCAAATATTTCAAAAGGCTTTCTCAAAAATGAGAAATCTCCCAGACACTCTTGTCTTCAGACATGTACTTTGGACAGCCCAAGTGACGAGCAATGATGTTCTGATATCTGCATCACGCAGACAAGCAATATGGTAGAAAAGATAGGGGATGTCTTTTAAGATAATGACACTCCAGGCATTCACCCCATCTAATCCCTTCCAGTAAGATTAAGTTCTGATAACTGCGAGAGGCAAATGAGTCCTATGTGTGATATAACCCAGCTCAGCCAAGCACTCATTATCACATGTATTCCCAACAGAAAGTAACAATTTCCCATATACACCAGGCTAAAAACTAAGGTAGTCATTAATTGGTAATTCTGTTTCATCTCCCTCTGTCTTATCATGAATACTTTGGCAAGTATTTAGTACCATAAGTAGCTACACTAATCTCATTGTGATTTATTAGGACTTTACAAAGTCAAGTAAACACAGCTGGCTTTGTTTTAGCAACATCCAGTTTTGCTATAAAGAGCTTCGCATCAAATATGAGAAAACAGTCTTATAATGAAAATAAAAATGACATTTAAACAATATAAAAACAGTGGTGGAGGATAAAGAATCAGATATACAACATTGAGGTACACCAATATATCTTAATTAGAGGGAGAAAACAGAGGAAGGAAAAATAATCAACTATTGATCATATTACTTTGAATTTCCTCTGTTTTATGACCACAAGTATCCTAAATTTAATATTAATTTTACAGTAACCACAAACCATATACACTGTTATTGAATTTATTTTCAATTCACCCTCCTTTTAAAACACCTTAAGTCAATTTTAGAAAAAACTGTATATTGCTATACATATAAATAAACAAGTAGGATTTGACACAGATAAAAAATTGTGAAAATAAATACAGAGCCATTAACAAATTTTAGAAGATGTAAAGAACATGAATGAATGGTAACTGATTTATTACCGGAGAGATTCAAACCAGAGAGAACCAGTAGTATGGAGAGACAATAATTTAATTATTCCTCCAAAGATTCATTAATTAGACCCTGAAAACCTGTGGAAGTGGAGAGAGAGGGAGGTGGGGATTAGAATAAGAACTGGTTGGAAACCTGTTTAAGAAATGTCTAATTTTTAGGGTGTTCTACACATAAGGGAGATCATTTGGAGAACTAAGAAAGAGCTCTTGGAAATTAAAAGGATAATAGCAGAAATAAAACCTCACATGTGTTGGAGAAAATGTTCAGGAACTTTCCAGCAAGAAGAGCAAAAATACAAAGGGATAGAAGATAGAAGAAAAATGTGAAAAAATTAGAAGATTGGTCTAAAGGATCCAATATTGAAATAAGTAGAGTCCTGGAAGGTGAGAACAGAGCACATATGGGGAGGAAATCATTGGTAAAATAATTCAAGAACAGGACATGAGTTTGCATGCTGGAAGAATTTGCTGAGTACCTAGTACAATGGATGAAATGGATTCACACCTGGGAATTCATGAAACTTCCGACTACTGGGGACAAAGAGAAGACCCTACAATACTTCAGAGAAACATGTAAACAAATGGGTACAAACAAATGATGAAGAATGAGAACAAGCTTCAGATTTCTTATAGCAACACTGAAAGCTAGAACATGATGAAGAATTACCTTTAAATTCTGAAAATGAAGGATTTTTAATTTAAAATTCTATCCTTGATCAAACTATAAATCACCTGTAAGGGTAAAATAAAGATTTTTTGGATATAAAATTTCTTAAAATTTTACTTCCCATGCATTCCTGGTGAACATAGGAAAGTATTGAAGGATGTACTAAAAACAGGAAAGAGATAAAAAGATTCTCCAGGATGACAAAAGTTCCTCAAAGACAGCTGTGCCCAGTCACCCAGTCCAAACTCAACAGGTCAGAAAGACTCTGGGAGAGGCTTTTTTAGGGAGATGAAATTGATAGCATCCATAATGCATCTAGCTGTCTTAAGAGATGACTGGCTGCGAGTGTGGCATTGACGATTAGAACAAAGAAAACTAAGAAAATGAAAATAAACAAACAATAAATAAAATAGTTAACTCCCAGAAAAACAAATAATCAGTTTATTCCAAGGTTTACCTCTGAAAAGAAATTTACTTAGATATACTCAAATATAAGAAATCAAACACTGACTACTGCTCCAATCCAAATGACGATGTAACCATGTGGGAAAAATGAAGAGATGGGGAGGGTGTGTGTGTGCGTGCGTGTGTGTGTGTAGTGGAGATGGCATAGGGAGCGAGATAAATTCTTGTGTTCCACAGGGAAAGTCAAAACATAATACTTAAAAAGGGAAAACCAAACATGTTTTTAGAGTCATGAAAGTAAGTACCAAAATATTAACTAAAAGATGTGAAAATACTTATGTCCTTTAGAAGCAGGTAAGAGAAGAGAGGACTACTATTTTTCTTAAATCCTGTAGAACTATTATTTTAAAGATTTTATTTATTTGAGAGAGAGAAAGAGAGAGTGAGTGGGGCAGGGAGGAGCAGAGGGAGAGGGAGAAGCAGACTCCTTGCTGAGGACCCTGAGATCATGACCTGAGCTGACTGAGCCACCCAGGTGCCCCACTATTTGGCTTTTTAAATCATGGTACATACAATTTTACAAAAACAAAAATGTTTTAAAGAAGGAAACCTGGAAGAATATTCAAGAAAATTCTGAAAAGGAAGACTATTGAGCTGAGATTACAGTTGATCCTTGAACAACATGGATTTGAACTGTGCATGTCCACTTATACCTGGATAATTTTTCACTAAATAAGGCACAGTACTGAGTATATTTTCTCTTCCTTATGATTTTCTTTTTGTTTGTTTTTAGGATTTATTTATTTATTTTAGAGAGAGAGATAGCATGCGCTCTGGGAGGGAAGGGCAGAGGGAGAAAGAGAATCCTCAAGCAGACTCCCCGTTAGGAATAGAGCCCGACAAGGGGCTGGATCCCAAGACCCTGAAACCATGACTTGAGCCGGAATCAAGATTCGGCCTCTTAACCGACTGAGCTACCCAAGTGCCCCCCACTTATGATTTTCTTAATAACATTTTCTTTTCTCTAGCTTACTTTATTGTAAGAACACAGTATGTAATATATATAACATGCAACGTATGTGTTAATTGACTAATTATGTTCTCAGTAAGGCTTCTGGTCAACAGCAGGGTATTAGTAAAGTTTTGGGGGACCCTGTGCATGCTAACTGTTTTAAAAGAATCTCTCATTCTGCTCTGAATCTCTCGCTCTCTTTTTGGTCTTTTGGTTAAAAAGACCTAAGTTTTAGGAAAAGAAACCTGAGCAGAATTTGTAGTGCAGGAAGTTCTTCAGTAATTCACATGGTTCTTCTATGTGAATCTCCAGTCCTTAGCACAATGCCAGGGACACAGGATTTTTCATGAGACAGCCATCTCCCCAGCCCCTCCAACCAAAACAGCTATCACCGAAGAGAAGTTATATATGGTTTTTCAACTGCATGGGGGTCAGTACCCCAACCCCCATGTTGTTTAAAGATCAACTGTAGTTATATTTTATACTAAAATATAAAGCTGCAGAAATGAAAGCAGCTTGATATGGGTACATATATGTACAGAAGAGTAGCACAAAATAGAAAATCAAGAAACAAATACAAGTACGTATGAAAATTAAGTAAATATAACATTCCTACTTGGTAGAAAAAAATGAATTATTCAGTATCAGGTGTTGTGATAATTATCTAGCCATATAGAAGAAAATAACAAAAATGAATTCTTTACACCAAAATAATTTCCATATAGATCAAAGATCTAATTGTTAAAAATGAAACTATACAAGTTGAAGGAAGCAGGAATTACACTTTAAAATAATCTTAGAATTTTTGAGCAGGACACAATTTCTAAAAGCAACAGTAGAAAAAAAGTGATAAATTTATTTTAAAATTTAAGCTCTGTAAGGGGCACCTGGGTGGCTCAGTTGGTTAAGCATCTGTCTTCAGCTCAGGTCATAATCCCAGGGTCCTGGGATTGAGTCCCACATCGGGCTCCCTGCTCAGTGGGGAGCCTGCTTCTCCCTCTGCTTCTCCCTCCGCTCCTCCCCTGGCTCATGTGCTTTGCTCTTTCTCTCTCTCTCTCAAATAAATAAAAAATAAAATCTTAAAAAAAATTTAGCTCTGTAATACTGTATAAATAAAAACAAAAACAGAAGCAGCTATAAACTATGTTAAAAGTCAAATGATAAGCTGGAAGCATATAAGACAGAAAAAGGGTTAATACACTTGCTAAAGAGCCACTATCAGTTAACTAGGAAAACATAAACATCTCAATAAAAGTAATCAATAAAAAAAAATCCATTAGAGTTAAATACAAATGGTTAACCATACATGAAAAACGCTCAAGATTATTATTAGTGAAAATTAAAACAATACAATACTATTTTTGGCCTTCCACATTGCCACAAGTAGTAAAGATACACATATTAATTGTTTCTAGTGCTGGCAGATAGGAGATAAATGGACAATTCATATACAGGTAGTAGGAATATAAATGAGTTCAACTTTGCTTAAATTTTCTGGCAGTAAGTATCAAAAGCCCTTTGATCTAGAAATTCCACTTTTAGAAACTCATTCTAAGTCAAATTATTGTACAAAGATCATTTATAAGAATAAACACATAACATCAATCTTTACAGGACAGAGAGACATCATTCAAGTATCTATAAGGGTTCGGTAAACTATGGTATGTACATCAGATAAAATATTATGCAGTCATAAAACAATGTGGATTTATATTTACTGACTTAGAAAGGTGTCCATGATATACTGATGAATGAGGTAGTAAGTTGACATGCAGGAAATATATAGCGGTCCTATGTTAGTCAATACGCACGCGCATGCATGTGAGTGTGCGTGTGTGCGTGTAGAAAAAATTGCAGTAAAGTGAGTGACTCATGAAATGTTACAATAGTTAACTCTGGAATGTGACTACTGATTCTATTCATAGTCTTCATTTTGATTTTCTATATTTCACAGTGTTTCTTTAATAATTTTAAAAATATAAAGCTTAAGAAAGGAGAAATAACATAACATTTTGGGATCAGTAGAAACCCTGAATCCAAAGGTGGGAATATCTGGTCAAGACACAGAACACATATAAAAAGGTGTAAAAGCATAAAGGTGAAACATGGCATCTCTGGAGAGAGTTAAATTTAAGATAGTTGTGTTTTTCTGCTTTAGAACATGGGACTTGTAACAAAAGCTCTTCAGGGGACTTTTTGGTGCAGGATTCTATGATTCTTGTCCCTTTAGTACTGTCTTTGATGTTTGCATAAGATTATAATTCAAGATAAACATTTTTGAAGTTAGAAATATCTTTGTCTTTTTCTGTATCTTTAAAAATGTAGATTGTAAAAAAAAAAAGAACCCACACCCAATTTTCCATTTCCATAAGTAAGGAATTTTTTTTCGAAGCATCTAAAACCCCACATTTCCTAAATACACTCTTGGCTGCAATATTCCTGGCTGTAGCTGCTAAGGATCCAAACAATTACAAAGCACTTGACATTGCCTTTTACCCTTTTATGTAGCAGCATGTGCGCCTCATGACCAGAGTGGGAGAAGCAGGAAGGAAAATAACCCACAGCAAGTATGGCTTTGATGTGCATCCAGCCACACGCTGTGCTTGTTCATCCTCTTCTCCAGTTCTTGATGTATAGAATAGACTAGAGGGGGCATCCGAAGCCTGCTAACTCCCACCCAGCAGGAGTGTGCTCAAAGCTAGTGCCATTTTTTAAGCAAGTATTTCGATACAATGTACTGTTTGTTGTAAGTATTCTATGTGTAGGAGCCTGTGCATGCTAACTGTTTTAAAAGAATCTCTCATTCTGCTCTGAATCTCTCTCTCTCTTTTTGGTCTTTTGGTTAAAAAGACCTAAGCTTTAGGGAAAGAAACCCGAGCAGAATTTGTAGCACAGGAAGTTCTTCAGTAATTCACATGGTTCTTCTATGTGAATCTCCAGTCCTCGGCACAACGCCAGGGACACAGAATTTTTTGTGAGATGGCCATCTTCCCAGCCCCTCCAACCACACCAGCTATCACCAAAGAGAAGCCAGGAAGACCCCAACGTGTGAAAGGACAAGGGCCCCCTTCCATTATGCACGTTTTCAAATTCGATGGTCTCAGAATTGGGAACTCATTGAACAAAACGACTCACATTTGTTTGCACTATAGGATATAGGTATTTTTCGTTTTGAAAGAAAAGACTGATAAAGTGAGAGAACTGGGTGCCTGTTCGGAATGTCAGAAACTAACTTCTCAATCCCCTGTATGAGGGATGCCTGGTTATTGAACCTCACTTCTGGAATTCTGTCTTTCTTAATGGTTGCTCTGGAACAAAACATGAATGACAGGTATTTACAGCTTAAGTTAATATAGTTTTTATTTTGTGAGGTTTTTATTTCCTGATATACAGTTTCAGGAGTTTAGAATACAAAGGCACACACACACTTAAAGACATGTACACAAGCAAACACACAGGCTCGGAACTCAGGCCCTTAGATTATTGCTGACCACGCTAAACCAAATATGTGCCTTTTTTCAAGTCCTGGTAAATTTGAGTTTGTATTTAAGCCAATATCATCCTTTCAGCATTAGACTAGACATGCTTCCCTTCTATAAAAATGGACGTCTTCCAAAGTGTGTGTGTGCTATTTTTATAAGATCATTTTTGTATTGTCTTAGTGACAAGTTATTTCATCTTAATATTTTATATATGTTGAACATATTATATAGGTATGTTTGATTTTTTTCTCTGTAAATCATATAAGAGTCTAAATTAGAAGAAACCCAATATTTACTATAATGCATGAAGAATCTTTTCTTTTCTACATTAGTCTACGGAAACTTCAAAAACATTGTGGTATTAATGTGAGATTTTTTTTAAGTCTAATGTTGTTCTTAAGAAGATGTGTTTTTGGACACATTAAGAGTGCTAAACATATGTGTGATGAGCAGTTCCTAAAGAGTTCCTGGCATTAGGAAACTTGTGATTTAAATAAATTATACCCCAGGATTCTTCTAAAACATTTTGTAAAAGACATGAGATAATTTAATATGTACGATCACCTCAAAGTTGGAAATAATGTGTTAAAAACAATAAACATAATTGTAAAAACCAAAAATTCTAATTTTCAGAAATACTCAACAGCTTTTTCCTCCATGATCTTTTTTTTTAATTTTTATTTCAATTCAATTTAATTATCATATAGTGTATTACTAGTTTCAGAGATAGAGTTCAGTGATTCATCAGTTGCATATAAAACCAGTGCTCGTTACTTCAAGTGCCGTCCTTAATGCCCATCACCCAGTTACCCCATCTCCCCCCCATTATCTTTACATTTGATTTCTATTATTAAAACAAAAGTACTTACTCTTGCATGTATATTTTCCTGTAAGAGAGGAGGAGAAAAGTAAATTAATGTAAATTTACATATTTGAGGTAATATGCAAACATTATAAAGCCTTTAAATTTTTACTATATAAAATAAAGTGATGTTATTTTCCATGGATGTTTTATAGAATTGGTCTCATTATTTTGTAATCACATTCCTAAAATTTTATCTGTAGCATGTACATACCAACTTTATTTCACACTCTATATAGGGTTAAAAACTATTGTTTTGGATTACAGAACTATTGATTTTGATTATGTGAAATTGGATTTAAACATCAATTTTTGTTTATATCATGAAAAAAGAGAATCTGTTAAACATAGTACAAGTCTACAGAGTAAAGAATAAATGACTTGCAGGAAACGGCCACCAAGCACTACAGAATATTTCTGTATACAGTGTTAATGTAGGTTATAAACAATTCACCTATGGAATAAGATAATTCCCACAAAGACTTTAACTAACCATGGCTAGCTTTTGTGGCTTCAATTTTGCTCAAGTACAATGAATGTCCTTCCAAGGCAACGTGATCTGCCTCTCCTTTTATTTCCTCTCTACCTCATTTTCTATTGTTCACAAACTCCCCCAGACTATGGCAACCATGCGGGCTTCCTTGCTCTTATTAAAGTCTAAAGGCAGCTCCTGCCTCCAGGTCTTGGCACTTGCTGTTCCTCGGCCTGCTTGCTCTTCCCTTGGGTATCAATATGGCGCACTCCGTACTTTCTTCAGGTCTTTGCTCAAAGGTTTCTTCCCAGTGAAACCTTCCCGGACCAATTTTTTTAAAAATTGTGCCTTGCCTACACTACTTTTTATCCTCCTTCCCTTGTTTCTTTCTCTCCATAACACTGTCACTTTTTAATATACTATATGTTTATTTCATTTATTGTCTATCTCTCTGCTCCCCATCTGAATGAGGGCAAGGATGTATGCTTGCTCTGTTCTCTGCTGTAGCCCCAGTACCTGAAAAGCGACTGGCATTTGGTAAGAGTGCAAAACGTATTTGTCAAATTAAGCAATTAACAGTAAAAAAAAAAAGTGACAATCATTCAAGTTAAATATCAGGCATAAAGGAGATAGAAGTTTTTGTCTAAACGCTTCATATGGGGGTGCCTGCGTGGCTAGTTGTTTGAGTGTCTGCCTTCGGCTGAGGTCATGATCCCAGGGTCCTGGGATGGAGCCCCGCATCGGGCTTCCTGCTCGGCGGGGAGTCTGCTTCTCCCTCTGCCCCTCCCCATCCTCATTCTCTCTCTCTCTCAAAAAAAACAAATAAAATAAAATAAAAATAAAATTAAAAAAAGCTTCATACAGCCATAAAGAAATAAAGTTGTAATTTTGTTAATAGCCTGATTACCTTGACCTCTGATTTCCAATCTTTTAGAATACAATGAATATTTTCAATATAAAAGTAAAATATTGTGACCCCATCTCATAATAGTAGATGGTCTTTTCATTTTCAACGACTGAGAAGTAAATCCATGATAAATACCTATGTTGAATTTCATAAATTTTAATGCACTTAAAAAGTTTGAAAAAATTAATCCCAGTGCTCTATATATGTGGAAAACAATGGTATACATATATGCAAAACAAGTACTCCTTCACTCTTCAGACATCTTATATGAATGGATTCCTAGACATCTCGAAATAACTAGGTTCTGCTGACTCTAAGACCTCCTTATTGGAATCAAGCAGAGAATTCTAATTTTTTAAAAATCAGCAACCACTATCATTTCAGACAATTATTCACTGCTGTTGGAAGAACTTTCTATGAAAGGGATTGCTCTACCACTACCCCCAACCCAATATTTCCTTCCACTTATTTCCTTTAAGCTCATATTTTTGTCTCAGTTTCTGTCTCCTTCTAATGAGGAATTTCATTTTCCCAGTATGCTCTGTAGATCATAGATCAGAAAATTGGGGGGAAGTTGAATAAAAATATAAATGCATTTTTCTATGGAAGCAAGCGAGTGAACAACGTGATCATTTTAGAGCCCAAACACAAAATCTGTTTAACTCCTAAAGAAGATATAGACTTTTTTTTCTCTATTTCATTTATTTTAACCAAATAAAACAAATACTATGACATAAATTAGCATGGTGTTTAACATAAGTATAGATTTTACAAGAAGGAACCTCAGAGATTTTCCAACAGGGAAAACCTGTTGGAGTAATGTCATAGTACTATTACATTATAACATCTCTTTATTTGCTCATCATTTTTTAAAAGTTTCCCTTTTAGGCTAAAAATTTCCAGAAGTGAGTCCCAGTCAAGGACAATACAGGGAGGAGGAAGTTAAATTGTGTCCATTCACCCTTTTATGGGGAAAGTAATATAACCACAACCACACCTCCTACCCTCATGGGCTCATTATAATTTGACCTACAATTAACACATTTTTTATGTGGCTAATCATTAAATTTCTTAATGATTTTTGTTCAAACATGGTGCCCCATAACAAGGAATTGAAAAAAATTTCCAGAAATGATTTTAATTTTTATTTGGAACATTCCATTACAATAATGTTAAGAAATATAAAATGTGGTGAACAAATTGAACTCTATTAGGTTCTATGTTGCATGAGCTTTCAGCTTCCTTCTGAATGGAGAAGGTGTAGTAGTCAAAGGAACAGCCAAAGCACCCAGATGACTAGAAGTTAGTTTTCCTCCTGAGGATGGTGGCTTCGGTTAGGAAGAAGAAAAATGTATATAAATTTATAACCACAAGACATAAAGCTAGAAACGTGTCTTCCAGCTACCAAAAAACTTGGAAAAGCCCCTTTGTTCTTTATCTATTACAAAATAAATAGATCTCTAGGGACTCTGAAAGACAGCGGGGATTTGGTGGTATTTATAGCTAGAAAAACAGAAAAAGGAGGTAGCAGACAAGCTATTCTAATTATAGTTACACTTGCATTTACGGCTATTCTATTTTTCATTTTCCTCATACAGATCAGAAGCCTTAAATAATCCCAAAGAGGCTAAGTAACTAGAGCTTTAGAAAATGACTTCCATAAATTTAGAGACTGTATTAATAGCATTTTCATGCAATCTTAGGGGTCACTAATGGGAATCTGTAAATACTCCTTGTTGAATAAATAAAAACTTGCAGATTTCCAGTTTGCAGGCTACAGATGCAGATGTGATATTGCTAAACTCTCTTCCAGAGAGTTTTAGTCTTTTTTTTCTTAAGGTCTCCAAACCCTGAAATCACTGCTTAGATTGTATCTGTAGTCATGAAGAAAGTCTATCTGCTTCAGGGAAAGCAGCTAGTTAAGTACTGATTTCTTTTTCTGAAGTGGTTCTTAACCTGAGTATGTATCCACAATTACCTGAGGGTGCTTGTTAATATGTAGCTAATATGTAGCTTGGACTGGACCCTAGGGGTCCTTTTCTCTTTCTTTTTCTTTTTCTTTCTTTCTTTCTTTCTTTCTTTCTTTCTTTCTTTCTTCTTTTCTTTTTTTTTTGGTCTGGAGCAGAGCATAGGAATCTGCACTTTTAATACACATCCCTATGGATCTGACACAGGGGAAATCATACACCAAGAAACGCTGTCCTAACGTTTCAAAGGGATTGAAAGTTATTTTCTAGATACAAATATTATTTTCTCTTTTGAAAGATAATGGGCTTCAAAGAATAGCCAAAGGTTATGAGCTCAAGTCTGTTACAAAACCAGGAAATCTCTCTACCATCCTTTTGGAAATTAGTCTTGAACTTCACCGTGACAGCTTCTGGTGTGTTATTTAAATTAACTCTGGTATTGTTATTAAACTTTCCAGATGGTTTGTTTATCTCCCCAAGTAGAAGGTGTGTTCCTAGGAGGCAAGAACTATGCATACATATATAAATATATATTTTTAACATTATCTAGCACTCTTAATAAATATTTATTAGGCCCTCAATAAGCATATTTTAATTTTAGTTCAAATGCAACCTAAGTTGCTGTAAAAATCTGCTTTAACTTCTGAGACCTGAAGCCACCTCTCTCATGGATATTGCTTCAAACCCTGTTGTTCCAATATCCCCTTGCACGGTAGAAAATGGAGGCCACACCTAATATTCATTAGAAATTGGCAACTGTGCACTTGGGCTCCATTATTTAGCCACAAGGAAAAGGCAGAGACACAGTAATAGCTTTGACTGATTACTTGGCAAGGGAAGCCAAGCCCCTTGGGGTGTTCCAGACTCTCTTTGGCCTATAAACCTGTTTAAAAACCTGTTTCTCAGAATTTAAAGCTTAGCTCAATTGGGGTCAGTATGATAGTAATGTCAATAATTCTGCTCTCAGCTTTCAGGCAGACCAGTACAATTCATCATCGACTTTATTTTTATGGAAAGGCAACTTTTGGAAAAATAGCTCTAATTTAAGCTATTTTATTTTGATCATTCTTTTCCTTAAGAAATAGTTGTGCCAATATTACTTCACTTGGATTTTGTGCTTTCTAAACCTTAGCACCTTCCAGTGCCTGAAATCATTCCCTAAAATCAGAATAGTGCTGAATACACAAGATTTGGGACATCCACCAAGGCAATAACTCAGGGCTTTCAGAAAAAGATCAAATAAGTCACTGGGTCTGAAAGTCATTTTCAGTAATTGAGACTTCATGATGTTTCAAAATTACCTCTGCCTTTAGCTGCTTTTAGGGGGTTTGGTACTGGGCTACACTGCCAAGTGGAATACTCTGGCAGGGTCCATTTCTTTCTCTTAGGAGTCAAAAGCCTTAATGAATAATAAGCCAGTGTTCACCCCCACTGAACAGGCAGCTCCATTTTTAGTCAACCATTAGGAGCACATGCCAAAGTAAATTAACTACATCTGCTCTTGGTAGGGACCTCCATTCCTGGGGTTGTAGTTGGAGTGATGGTCAAAGGTGCTAGTTGTGCACTTGCTGTGAGGCTTCTCTCTTTTAGTTCTAGAAAGTGAAGAAGGAGAATGACTCAAGATAAACATTTCTTGGATCAGATCTTGCCACTAGATTAAGGTAGGAAACGTATTCATTCACACCCAGGATAACATCGTTCTTCCTCCATAGGAAAACAAGTATCTGTATATTTAGAAGATGTTGCTCCTAATATAGGAATATATTAAGGTGGATACAACTTCAAACTTTAAAGCTCCTCTGAATTGATTTCTAACACTGAACTAAACTGCTGATAGTGGAGAAATAATGAACTGGAGCTACTTGTCACATACCATCTTTAAGAGTTACCTGGTCACGTTAAGCTCCTTGTGGGCAGTGTATAACTCTTAATTTATTTTTGTATTTGCAGCACCCAGAACTATGCTTCATATAGCATAAGCACTAAATAAATGCTTGTGATTTCATGACTTGAATATCTTTTCCATGATATGAAAAATGGGTAAAGAACTGCAACAACTTAATGATCAATAGCAGGCAATAAAGCTAATTTTTAAAAATTCTTCGGACCCTGCTTAAAACCAGTGTCAGTCCCCGTTCTAGCCTGGAAAGACATTTTCCAGAGTCCAGGAGTGCCCCTATCTGTGGGGGTTTTAGTTACCACAGTCAGCTGTGATCCAGAAGTATATGCTCCTCCTTCTGAATTGTCAGCACATATAGGAAAAAACACAGTATATATAGGGTTTGGTACTATCCAAGTTTCAGACATCCATGGCGGGTCTTGGAATGTAGCCTATGTGGCTAAGGTGGGGGCCCACTGTAGTCTCATTTTGTCTCCTGATTTCACTTTAATTCAGCTACCAATCTCTTGTACCACATTAGGACCCCAATTTTTGTCCCCCTACAATAGAGGCTATAAGGGGGGAGTGTGCTAGATGCTCAGACTGGTTGGTATGCTTTGATTTAGATATCACAGCTCTCTCTGGTTAAATCTTTGACAATAGATAATCCTTAAAAATAAAAGACCACAGTAGAACCACTAGGTAAGAAGTGGATTAGGGCAGAAATTTCGGCTTCAAGCCTCATGTGGTAGAACACGATATATATAGGAAGATGTTAATTTCATTTAAAAGAATAAACACAAACCCACGTCCATATTTATGCCTATAAATAAAATCAGAAAAAAAATATCAGCTGCGGTTATTAATACATGGTCTAGCCAGGAATTAATACATGGAGTAGCAAGAGTTTTTATCTTATTTGTGTTTCCTTATATTTTTTAGATATTTATAGTGAGTCATTTCTTCCAGATTAAAAAAGTGTGTATTATGTAGCACCAAGACTTAAGGGATGAGGAAAGAATTCATGACTAATTCTCCTGAAACTAACAGGATCTGACCTGTCCTCATCAGTCTCCCCTCTTTCCCCACAGTGAATCTGGGGGAAGAGGAGAGCCATGCAGAGAGTCATGGGACCTTCCCCTAACTTTATTATTCCTCATGCCCCAGTGCTGTCTCATGTGGGGGCAGGCAGGTAACAACAGCTTTAAGAAGAGCCTTTTCTTCCACGTTTCATTTTTTGATATTGCATTTTTCTCTGTCTACAGAGCCCCAAATCATCCCCGATGTTATTTTTAGTCATGCTCACGGGGGGGAGGGGGGAGGAAAAAGTCAATCAGGGTTTCTGGCATGTCAGCTTTTCATAAAAGGAACACAAAGTAGAGCTCCCAGCAAGCCTCATCAAATGTAGGATTTATGTGGGAACTTTCATCCACATCCAGTTAAAATGTTCCCTGCTAGGCATGGAAATCATCATTTGAAAAGGCCTTACTTTAAGGACTGGATACAGTGGCTCAAATGTTGCTTCAGCTCTTCTTCCTTTTCATAGGATTCCAGTACGCTGTGCGCCTCATCATGGTGGTAGCAGTAGATTTTATAAATATCTTCCAGTGGTCCTTTAATCTGCAAGAACACTTCTCCTGATAAATGCAAAACAAAGGCAAAATGACATCAAGTCAGACCAAACAGACACTCTACATATTTATTCTTTGACAATGTTGACCAGTGTTAACATGTTGAATAGGTCCCATTTTATCCCCAGGTTACTCAGGAGGGGTGGATGACATTCCTTCCCTTCCCTTCCCTTCGCTCCCCTTCCCTTCCCTTCCCTTCCCTTCCCTCCCCTCCCCTCCCCTCCTCTTCTCTCTTTTTCTTTTCTTTTCTTTCTTTCTTTCTTTTTTCTTTTCTTTCTTTCTTTCTTTCTTTCTTTCTTTCTTTCTTTCTTTCTTTCTTTCTTCTTTCTTTCTCTCTTTCTTTCTCTCCTCCCTCATCTTTCCCTTTCTCCTTTTTTCTTCCCTTCCTTCCTTTCTTTTATAAAAGGAAGGATAAAGAGCTTAATGGAGACAGGCAGCAAAAGAAAGCTGGTTTTCTCAGAGGTGATTTATGCACTTAACTGGTGTGCAGAATCCTGTTTAAGAGCAATACAGAATCAGCCTGTATGGGTTTGGATCAGGCTGTGCTACAGACTTGGACAGGTTATGACTTGGACAAGTTATGTTTACTCTCTGAATCTGTTTCCTCGCCTATAGAATGGGGACAATAATAGATTCAATTTCAGGGGGTCATTATAAAAATTAAAGGGGTAGTGTGTGTGTTTAGTACATATACAGTAAATACTCAAAACGGAGCAGTTATTGTGAATTTGTTAGAGGAATGGAAAGTGAAATTTCAGGTTCTAGGTAAATTAATTTTGCTATTTATTCCACTAATGTTTCCCGAGATTCTCTGAAGGGCAAGCAATGGAGTTTAGGGAAATAAAATATTTCCTTATACGTCATAATAGAAAGAATTGGCCATTATTACTGTTAAAAACTCAATTGGATAGGGGCGCTTGGATGGCGCATGGGGTTAGGTGTCCGACTCTTGGTTTCAGTACAGGTCATGATCTCAGGGTCATGGGATTGAGCCCTGTGTGGGACTCTGTGCTCAGTGCTTGAGATTCTCTCTCCCTCTCTCTCTCTGCCTTTCCTCCCCCACTCTCTCTCACTATCTCTGTCTCTCTCTAAAATAAATAAATAATTCATTAAAAAATTCAATTGGATAATACTATAAATTATGACTATATCTTCTAAAAGCAACTTGTGTTAATTGTATCCAGGCATTTAAGGAATCCTTTTTGATATTATAATAAAATTGCATCTGTAACTGATGACTCAAGTAGATATTGAACAATAGTTGGATTTAATCACTCTCTCCATCACTTGAAAATATATATTAAGCATCCACTACACACCCAGCACTATGTTAAGATGATTTGGGAGACACAGAAAAAATATGTGATGGGGTCTGCTCTCAAAGACACTGCAAATTTAGGATTGACAATGATTTTGGACTGAATTGATTGGGAGTTACACAGAACTACCAATCTGGACCTATTATAGTAACAAGAGTCTGTCATTCTTCCTATAGAAATAGAATGCCCTTTGTATTTTCAACATGTTTTGCCCACATTAACCACTTAATTCCCTATATGTATGGGGAGATAAGTGGTTATTTATCCCTATTAAATAAGGATGGACAAATCTGAGTTTGAAACAAATAAATGACTTTCCCACCGTCCTGTCCAGTAGAAACTAAGCCAGGATTAGAGGCTGTATTCTCCTCAGTTTTACTTAAGTGTTATTAGCTCTCCACACGTCAGAGCTTTGCTGGATGGACATGTACAAAGTGATGCAGTTGGAAAGAACACTGAACTCAGAATCAGAAATCACTGTTGTCTAGGGTTTGGGGGGCAACTGAGTCGATTCTCATCACTCCTGAGGATGAATTTGAGAGTTAAATGGAATGTAGACGTAAAAAACACCTGGAAAGAACTAGCTGCTCAATAAACATCACTCATCTCTTAATGCTACCTTGCTCTCTCTAGAATTAAAACACTAGTACTTCTAAAGTATCACATTCTGTTCTAATTTATATCCAGCCAATAAGAGACTTTTCTTAGTTAGACTACATGTGTGTGTGCATGTGTGTATGTGTCTTATTTTTTTTTTAATAGGACTTTTCTTTGGACTTGTAAGGAAACAGTGTCTATGAGCATCTTTGGAACTGAAGGGATGAGGGATTTTTGTTTTGTTCCTGGGATTGAATTGACGAATTGATCCTTCTACCAGTGTAATTCTTGCAGATCTGGTCTTCAAGACAGTTAGCAACACAAACAATAAGGAATGAAGTAGTTACAAGAAGAGAAAATAAAATAGGATAGTAACCTAAATTTAGGGTTGGTCAGGAGATGAGGAGAGCCTCCCAGTAATAGAGCCAGGTGGCAAATGAGAGCGAGGGCTTTGGCTGGGGGAGGGTATTACCACCCAGAAGTGGGAGCGAGTGAGTGGCAGGCCCAGAGGAAAATCAGCAGCAAGTCAAGAAGAGAGGATCTGGATGCACATAGCCCACCACAAGATGGGATTGTAAATATATGTGTTCACTACAAAGCGGTTTAGAGTAGAGACAAAGAAAGGAAGAGGTAAGGACGACCTCATAAATCTGCGATAGGATCAAGTCAGAAAGTCAAAAAACAAGGGCCAAAGACATTTATTTTGCACATATATTTTAACAGAAATGGTGTCGTTTGAAAGAATTTATAGCTCTCTCCTTAACAGCAGAGTCAATTGTTTTTTTTACTCTTTTCCAAGTAAAATTCTTTTGGGGCTCTAATAACAATTATTGAAGTTAAAAGATATTTAAGCACTCTAATTGAAAGTCATTTATTCACCCAAAGGCCAAGTACAACACTGGTGGGCAGAATATTTGATTCTCCTCCCAGCCCTACCAATGTCTTCTGCTTCATAATAATGCAGATAAAGCCATGTGTCTTGCAGCAAAACGGTGCTTCTGTTTCCAAGGTAACATGACTCTGGGCTGCGTTTCCTTAGTGGTGAAGGACAACTGCTCAGTCTAATGGATGTGGGTTTGAAGGGATGATTAGGGGTGGAGGAAGGTCTGAGCCAAGACCGGTGAAGGTAATTTCACTTCTGGCTGCCTGTCACAAAAGCGCCAGAACACTATAAAATAAATATAACTACCATGTGCTTTTTAAAAAAATTCCGCAACCCAAGAATTTCCATACTGGCTTTCCCCTGTTACGGAGCCTGGGCTGGATCGCCCGAGGGAAGAACCAAGTGGCACCCGGAGATCTTGGAGGATGGGAGGTTTATTTAACGCCGGTGGGCTCAGAGGAGAGTGGTCTCCCAAGATCTGAGCCTGGAGCACAAAGGGGGCAATTTATACACTTCTACTTACGCATACTGGGGACTTCTGGCTCGTGGGCGAAGCTGGGCAGGGAGGAGAACCCAGAAGAGCCCCAGGGCAAGGACTGGGACTCTCCCGCTGGCTCGGTCGGCCATCTTAGGACACAGATTTTCCTTATCATTCCCCCCTTTGATGCCCCTTTAAACACCTCGTTTAGAGGGCATCATCTTCATCTTCTAAGGGGCGATAGTGAGTAAGGAGTAACTGGAATCTGATTTTAGCAATTTGAGAAGTGATAAACCTAGTAAAGGCATTAAAAATACAAGGACCAAATACCACTATGAGGAGAAGCAATAGGAAGGGGCCGATGAGGGGGGCGAACCAAGGGAACCATTGTGAGAGGGCATCCCACCAAGTTGTCCGCTGGAATGTTTCCCACCGGCGATGTACTCATTCCTGTAATTGGGTCAGAGTTTCTTGGACCACCCCCAAGCCATTCCAATTCACAAAGGGTTCTTAACTTGCCGGGGTTCATCCTGACTCCATAGTCTCCTGAAAACACCTTCTTGAAATTTTTGATCATTGTCTCTAGAACCATAGGTTTACTCTGCCCTGACCCCATGGTGATGTTCCCGTGTGTGGTGCACAGAGACAGACAAAGGGGGGGGGTGCCTCCTGAGGTGAGGAGACCAATCAGATGCCCGTCTGGCTGTGTCCCGAAGGAGCTTAGGTGAGGCTTAGCCGTAGCGGTCTCAACGTTGTGACTTATGATCAGAAACTATTCCAATGCCGCCAAAGACTGTATGCCGTTCACCATAGAATTGCAGACGGGCCCACTCAGACTCCGTAGGCTTCTGGGGACCTTAAGGGTGCCAGCCAGGGGAGTCACAGAATCAGTCCGCTTGAGCAAGCCAGGTCAGACTGCACGTTCACTCACACATTCACACTCCAGAAGTTATTACATTCCCTCCCTGGGAATCCCTACCTGTGAGACCTCTAAGAGGTCTCTGGGAGGTGATCAGGCTCCCCTTCCACCCCAATGGGGGTGGGCCTATCTGGGTCCTGGGGCCCCAGGCCTTACCAGAATCTGACATCGGGACCAGGTCCTCACCTGCCAAGTCTCCTCCAGTCTGTCGGGAAGAATGGAGCAGGGCCAGCCTGAGGTGACCGGGGCACGAGACTGCCGAAAATTAGGCAGGGCGCACCTTCTCCGTTAGGATCCCTCATTCCGTCACCGCCCTGCCATTGCCCCAAACCGGTGGCAACAATGGGCCAGCGCGGTTGGGTTTCCCGGTCAGGGAACCAAATGTTATGGAACCTGGACTGGATCGCCCGACGGAAGAACCAAGCGGCACCCGGAGATCTTGGAGGATGGGAGGTTTATTTAACGCCGGCGGGCTCGGAGGAGAGTGGTCTCCAAAGGTCTGAGCCCAGAGCACAAACAAAGGGGGCAATTTATACACTTCTACTTCTGCACACTGGGCACTTTTGGCACGTGCACAGAGCAGGACAGGGAGAAGAACCTGGATTGGTGCGCGTGGGAAGCAGAGCAGGGAGAAGAACCCGGAAGAGCCCCAGGGCAAGGACTGGGATTCTCTTGCTGGCTCGGTCAATCATCTTAGGACACAGATTTTCCTTATCACCCCAAAAGGAATCGCCACGCAGAGGAGCAGGAAAAATACACCTTTTCCCCCTTAGTTTTCTCCTTGACAAACAACTCCCCAAAATATTGAGC